GAGACAATGCCAACAGTCTGCTTTACACCCCTACCAACTTGAAAATGTTCTCCCTCCAGGCGCTTCTAACTACCTAAGACGCGCATTTCCATACAACATCATCAAAACCTGGAACGCACTGCCATCCTCCCTCTTCACCAAACCACCATCTCCTAAGGGCCTACAAGTAGTACAATCATTCAAAGCGAACGCCCACTACCATCTTCGCCAAAGCCAGTGGCTTTGGGCCACAGACTCCCTCTAACAGTTCAGAACTATTTCCATCTTGAAGCTCCCCCCCAGCATTGCATCATGTTCACAGCCATCTGAACTGCCCTTGAATCTATTTTTCTCTCTTCTTGTTCTCCCTCCACCCCCCCCCCCACCCCCCCCCCTCTCTCTCTCTCTTTCTCTCTCTCTCTCTCTCTCTCTCTCTCTCTCTCTCTCTCTCTCTCTCTCTCTCTCTCTCTCTCTCTCTCTCTCTCTCTCTCTCTCTCTCTCCTCAACCATTCTAGCTCACCTTCTCTTGTCTTTATCGTACAAAATCACCCCCTTCTTTTAGTTTTAGGCTATGATGCGCAAGCTCACGTTAACGCCGAGACCATAGGTCGGTGTTCTGGGCTTGCCTCACCAGCACAGGCTTGCTTTGCAGCTCCTACTCTCCCTGCTGTTTTGTTAGTGTATACTCTGTTGTCTTCTCCCCTTCTGACGAGTAGGTTGTGTACTTAGTAAAAACAAAACAAAAAACAAACAAAACACATGTACATGTATATCGTGGTGAGACGCAACCATGATAACGGGGAGAGGGAGGCTTTCATCAGCTTGAGGGAGTTGCAAAGGGACCATCTGAAGAAAAATTGTCTGTTCTCAAGGACGCAACTTATAGCTTCATAGGGGACTCACTAAGCTGTGGTTTAGTCGTCATCCCAGCAAAGAAATGGCTGTTTGAAAAGGTTTGCTTGAAGTAGATGTTAACATACATGTACATGTATAAGCAAGGGTGTAAAATAGCCCTTTCCCAGAGATGCCATAACTTTTCGCAACCGTGCCAAAACAAGTGCAAGTTGCTGAAATCGCATCCATATTTTCAAAAAGCTCAAAAGTTGCTATCGCAACTATCGCAACTTAAAATTGGAGAGTTCTTGTGCAAAACCACCAAAAAAGAAGCAGTAGTAGAAGTGCAGCGACAGCAAACTCGCACACCCCTTCCTGCTGTAAACCACCACTTTACACAGTGCGAGTAGCCTCTTGCATGTGCATGTACAGGTATCCTACATCATTCCAGTGCACGGAAAAGGGAATGCACTTTATCGTAACTACCGTTGATCAACTGTTTCTCTGAAATGAGTCTGAAGGCAGGCGAGAAATGAGCGAGTATGCAATTAATTATTTCTCCGACATGTACGTGTACAGTGCTGGCAACTGAAATCCGACCCCTGAGCGGCGCGCCGGCCAGGGGGTCGGATTTCAGTTGCCAGCACTGTAGTTCTTGATTTGTCCTTTTGACCCCATGTCATGGGGCCAGGGTTGCGGAAAAGTTGCAAAATAGTTCGCGAAAATGAAGAAAGTTGCGAAAGTTGCAATTTCTTCCAAAGCAACGAAAAGTTGCGAAAAGAGTGGCGAGCATCTTTGGTAAAGGGCTAGTGTAAAAACAGTGTGGGCGGCCGTAGAACAAAGAATACGTAGGATAGCCAAAACACGTACATGTACATGTACATGTACATGTACATGTACACGGAAAGACCGCACTGGAGGACATCGGACTTGCATGCACTTACAGACTTACAGTCCATTCAGAAAAAGATGATATCCTAGCTTTTGGCCATAAATGGGTCAAATTTTGAGTTTTTGTGACAATTTTTTTGGCAATCCCCCATGGAATGGTCTTCCAATTGTGTTCTTGAAGTCTATTTCTCCAAAGAGCAAGCCATAACAAGAATAGGATTTCGGTCAGGTTTTGCCCCCAAACTCCCCAAAGCACTGAATTGGGGAAAAACCATGAAAATCAAACCCATGCACTCCACTTGCAGAACAGTACATTTGCGGTTCAAACTAGGGCTCAAACGGTCACGGTTTTACTCCTAACGGTTAACTGCTAAGCTAACGGTCGGTTTAACGGTTATAACCTATAAGCCACGGCAATCCTGCGGACTCTTTTTCAACCGTATATTTGACCATACTCATTCAAAAAATGTACCCTATTCCAAGTTGTTTCACACGACGTTGGAAGGCTGTCGGTTAGCGCTGCGAAGATGTGTTGAAGCTAGGTGTCAGGACGTCGAATGTCTCAGTACTCTGTCAGTTTTGTGCCTAGTTGTTGACTGTATATAGTATCTAGTTACAGTGGTGGAGAGTTACTCTTAACTCGTTTCTATATGTCCTTTTCCTTTCTACATTATCACTATAATACTCATAAAAAGGACACACTTCAGGCTCATTACAAACATCTCGTCAGGTGAAATACAGGCAAGGGAAAAGGAACAGGAACAGTGGATTAAATACAGTAAGAAGGTGGTAAAACAGCGCAAAAAAGAAGATAGCTAAAGTAAACAGCGAAAATTGCAATAATGACACAAAGGTGCAAATGCGAGAAAACTCAATAAGCGTGACATGTACAGTGCGACAACAAGAGACAACCACTGGACATACATGTAACTAACGAGGTTTTGACGACCTACCGACGACCTACCTAACAGCCTAAGTGTGAATTTGATTTGTTTCTGCTTGCAAAGGTTGGGTTTCTTTGTGTGGATGTACACGGCTTCCAAAGCATTCAGCCATCTAGCACTGCGTACACGTGACACAATCGAAAAACAATCATCTGAATACACAGCACGACAATCAGGATGCTCAAACAAAATAATGACTAGCAATGGACGACTCATACTTATCAGAACTAACATCAGAACAATCAGCATGTGCGGTGGACACATCCGATATTACATGGCTAGTCGAGTGGACCCTAGCCGTTGCCTCTGTCTGTGCTTTAGTCGCTGCCATCGCCGTCGTTGCCGATCTTGTCATTCTTCTGGTTGATGCGGTTCCTGTCACTGCCACGCCAGTAGGTGTCTTGTCCGGTTGTTTTTCTGGTGGTCTAGTAAATTGTGAGGTGACGTTGCTTGGTGTTGATGCCGCTGCGTTAGACCATCTTGTACCAGGATGATTCTTTGCTGGACGTCCCCTCCGTGTTCGAGTGGATCGTGCGTGTGGTGGAATAAGGTGTAGCGGTGCCATCTTCATCATTTTACGAGAACTGTGGCAATACGCCCAGTGAGAAGGCAGATTTTGCCTGTGTTTCTGATGAAGTGAAATAAAGCTAAACAAACAAACAAGGCTGCAAATTCATCCAGCCCTGGTAAGAAACCGTGTACAGAGACACAAAGATGATAAAATTAATAATGGGTAAGGAAAGCGAAGTAAGGTGGACCCTGGTACCTGTATCCAAGTACATGTAATGCCTATCACATCATTCCGGCATGTACCTGTCCCCGGGGAAAATTGCGATTCCGCGGCCGCGTTTTTTTCCGCGTTTTTTGCGATTTTTTAAAAGACCGCGTTTTCCGCGATTTTCCCGCGTTTTTTGAACTTTTTGTTGCACTACACGTACACACAGTGCACTTTTCGGTCAGCAACGTCTCATCGTGGCGGCTTTTTACTCAAATAATGGGTGCTTTATACACCAGAGACTTGTAACTGATTGATTTCACTACATACTCACTGAAAATTGCCGCATTCACCGCATATTTACCGCATATTTACCGCAAATTCACCGCAAATTATGCCATATTATGCCGCGTTTTTCCCCGCGTTTTTTGCGATTTTTTTCCGCAATTTTCCCCGGGGACAGATGTACTATTATTACTAATATTAGAGACGTGTTCTTTTTTGATCCACACTCAACGGAGGAGACGTTCATGTACATGTACATGTACATGACTAGTCGACTGTACTGGTGGCGTGTACATGTACAATGGTCATGTACGTTTCAATGGGGGAAATACGGTACAGTCATGGTTACCCTATATGGAAACATGTAGGCACACCAAGGCCGGGAAGGGTTTCCGATTCTTACCAGTATGGGTAAGCATTGTAAGGCCGAGGGAAGGGAGTTCAAGGCAATAATTCTTGCTATTCTTTATCAAAAACATTTTATCGACTAAATTATCGTGTCCGTTCCCGAAGGGAACTCACGGCGGCTGCTAACACCTGGTAAACCCTAGCCCTAGCGCCAGTTCGTTATCAAAAAGCATTGTATGAGGGGGGTGAGGTACTACATGTACTACTAGATGGCGACAGGCGCTCTGACTCTGAGATAAAGTGATTGAACTACATGTACTACCGGTTCTTCTGTTAGCCTGACTTCCAAGCAGCGAAAACCAGGAATATTTTCGCTCTAAAGTAATAATGATAACAAGTTTCCTGGGTTATCATGGGCTGCTGGCCGCAGCTCTGCCCTCCACTTCAACTACTGTTACTTGGTTTTAGTAACACCTGCCGCTATCGGCCACTTGTCAGCCCACAAAATAACCTGCATGGAGAGGAGAGTGTCCACTTCTGACTCAAGTGAAAGAAAATGGACCTACTCTACAATGCTACATACCGTGATGTCTATTCTACATACTAGTAGTGGACTAGTATTCGACTTCGAGCAGGAACTACTTGTCACGATCAAACGGCTGCGGCCCATTCACATGATTCACGACTAGCATTTTCAACGACTCCATCAAATCGTCCCGGCCAGGTAACAACCTTAGATCTACTGACATCTGTAGATCATGATTCATGGTCGTCTACGACTAGTACAGTCAGTAGTAGATCTACTACTAGTACTAGTAGATCTACTACTAGTAGAGTACTACTAGTAGATCTACTATGCGGTGCAAGTAAAAAGACCAGCGCAAGCAAGTACACGACTATGGACCGTATCATGGTTAGCCATCATGAGTCATTGGAAATGTGCGGAGTAGATCTACTTCAGAGATAGACAACGACGTTCAACACATGCACAGACAACAGAGGATTTCGGCGTGGAGATACTAGTACTTAGTAGAATGATACTTGATAGCTTCATACGCTCGCCAGCGCGCAGCGCAGCAGGTAGATCTACAATGCCATGGTAAAGCAAGAACATTTTTGTCGTGCCACGGCCAGTCGAACGTTGGGTTGAGAAAGTAATAAGTAATGAGAATGGATCTGATGTCCGATTGGACATCCGAATGAAAAGTGGCTCTGGTTGCAGTTTTTAGCCCTAATAATCCCGCCCCAGGTTCGTCGTCGCTAATTATGGCAAGATTGTTACCGAGCCGGTCCCACATCTCAAGCCGATGATGGCTGCGTTGGATTTCGTCTGCCCTAGGGCAAATGTTTGCGTGTACGATGCACTGTAAGTGACTTTGATAGAACGGCCATATGTAATATTTTACTGTCGAGCATCTGCTGGTCAAAGATGGAAGCGGGCTTACACCAGCTGGAGGCGCGGCAGAGTGCGGAGGCCGAGCCAAAAATCCTCTTTGTTCACTAACTAACTTGTAGTACAGTAGTAACAGCTTCGTTCGTGTGGCTGGAGTGCCCTTGCCGAGTTCTAGTACTACAGCAATAGTAGATCCGAAGTAGGTGTCCGTTTTACACTGCAAATGGGTGCTGGAAAGTCGGTTATCGGCGTGGAGAATCGTTCGTACTGTGAATAGATTCCGCTCATCAAGCCGTGTGTAATTGGCCGTGTCTGAAATCACGCTGGACGTTTGTCATAAGCATGTCGGTTTCAATGTTGTATTGTAGCTGGTAGATCCGGATGAAACATGATTTTAGGCATACATGAACTTGGGGAATGTGAATGTTGAAAAATGATGTGACTCACAAGATAACTGGCCGTCGACTGATCCTGAAGCTATACTGCCTTCCAACAAGTCATTCTGGCACTAGATAGTAGAAACAACTGAAGAATGATTGCAGTATACTGTAATTTCACAAATTTTCGGTGTACTTTTATTTTCGGTACTTTCGGTGCATCTGTTTTATACCTAAAATTTCAATACACCGAACAAACATTAACGCACATAATCCAATAGGGAACTGCTTCTCTGTACCGAAAATTTCTGTTCACCTAACCTAGCTTTTTGCTCTCATACCGAAAATAATTGAGCACCGAAAATTTCTGAAATTAGAGTAGTTAGCATTGTCTCAGGGTGTAAATAGTAGGATAGACGAAAGTTGCAGTGTATTTGAAGGGCTGCGGCAACAAGAGTCTATGCCGCCAACATTGTACAACTGTGATTCTTTTGAATAGGACAGCTCCACTGCACGCTGCCTTTATTGGATTTCACATACTGGTAGCTACATGCAAGCAGTGCTAAATGTGTAACACCACTCATTCTCAAAATAAATACACTTGTGCACATGTGTCGTAAATATTGTATGCTGAAATAAAGTTATAGAAAAGAAAAAGTTGAGTTAAGTTGAGTTGGATAACAATTGCACACTTTTCGGGAAATGATCCACAGTTTTGATGACTAAGTTGGAAGGGCATACTTTATCGACAACGACTCGAGAAGGAAAATCTTTCTGCGTTGCCGTATATTGGTTGGAAGAACTACATGGCGAGGTGCTGTGGTACGGAACTTCTGTTAGCTTAACGAAATGTGATTCGACTATATCTGGTTCTATAATGATTTCGCGGTAAAACAGCCTGTCCACAAGATTGCTCAATGTCCGAGGGCAGATGCAATTCATAGTGACTCTGGGCTGCACACACAAGGGGATCATCAGACAACAACACGTCTGCTGTGTGATAATTGCCTCGTTTGTGAAACTTTGAGTCACAACGAATATTTCATCTTCATCCACCTGTTGCTTTCGTGGTGTGTGGTACATACACGTACTTTCATACATGTGCATGCATACTCCTCCAGTTTTGTTCGTTCTTAGCCCAACATACATTATTGTACTCTCTCTCTCTCTCTCTCTCTCCCTCTCTCTCTCTATCTCTCTCTATCTCTCTCTTTCTCTCCCTCTCTCTCTCTCTCTCTCTCTCTCTCTCTCTCTCTCTCTCTCTCTCTCTCTCTCTCTCTCTCTCTCTTTCTCTCTATCTCTCTCTCTATCTCTCTCTCTCTCTCTCTCTCTCTCTCTCTCTCTCTCTCTCTCTCTCTCTCTCTCTCTCTCTCTCTCTCTCTCTCTCTCCTTCTATCTACCGTTGTGGCCAAAGACACTGACCTGTGAGACGAAAGCAGGGCCAAGGCTCTTGCGGCCCCTGCGGCTCTCGGATGGATTTTTGGACCGTGCCTTATGTAGTGAAATGGAAAAATAGTGTTGCTTTTGACTCTCGGGTCGGATTTCTTTGTCGACGGCTGGAGAGAAGATAGACAGCAATTGAACACAATATTTCCTTCTTTTTCTTCTCCTCCTCTTCCTCCTCCTCCTCGTCCTCCTCGTCGTCCTCCTCTCCCTCCTGCTCTCCCTCCTGCTCCTCCTCTCCCTCCTGCTCCTCCTCTCCCGGCTCTCCCTTGTCCTCTCCCTGTCGTCGTCGTCCTCCTCCTCTCCCTCTCTCTCTCTCCCTCCTGCTCCTCCACGCCCTCTCCCTTCTCCTCTCCCTCTCGTCCTCCCTTTCTTCCCTCACCACCACAACAACAACCTCCTGATAGCAGCTGTTGTTGTTGTTGTTGTTGTTGTTGTTGTTGTTGTTGTTGTTGTTGTTGTTGTTGTTGTTGTTGTTGTTGTTGTTGTTGTTGTCATTGTTTTTGTTTTTTTGTGACCAGGAGAAAGTGCCCCTGGATTCTCACTCTGGTGCTGCACATCATCCTGGCACTGGTCGTGACGCGAATGGATGCACTGGTTGTACTTGACTATGGCAGTGCCACTGAGAATGGCAGTGCTACTGAGAATGGCACGCAGAATTGCGAGTGGCCTGTTGACAATATCAGCTATACAGGTCAGTTTCATTGTTACATGTAGACTGGATTGTGGTCAGTATTGGCTGGTGACTGCCAAAGTGTTTTCAGAATGGCCTGCTTGACCGCTCTGTTACGCCAATGAATGTATCGGGAACAGGCAACAGTTACTACCGGGGTATTATGCAAGGTGTATCACCTATTTCTCGTTTGAAGAAGTAACGTTTCTCCTCGCTCTCCTTCGGGAGAGTGAACAGTCTAATCAAATGGAGTGAAGAAGGGAATAGAGCGAGGGATGAGAGCTCATTGACGGTCAGTGTGGAGTCGCGACTCGAAGCTGTCCAGCTGGTTGGTCACCTGGAGCCCCGTCAATGCGGGCATAGAGCTGAAGCGAGCGCGTAGCCGAGGTTGCGCTGACTGGTTGGCGGCGGCTAGCTGAGCTCCACGACACTCCTCTCTTTGTTTTTTAGCCGCTGACCGCTGGAACTCAGTTCTCCCTTGCTGTGTAGATTTCGACTTCCGAGTTCTCGACTGTAGTCTATCAGTAGAATTGTGCCAAATGTTTGCCCGCATTATTCCCGCGGCTTCTGACACTCTGTACGTCACCTATCTGTACATGTATCATACTTACAGTGGATAGTAATACTCAGCAGTGTCCGGTTTTTGCTTGTTCAAGGAAAATAGTTAACAGTTCGTGTGTTTTAGGACTGTTTGATATTAATTTTTCTTTGTTGCCTATTCTGCTGTTGCATGCGCATCAGCACCTCAGCGACTCCGCTCGTTCCTCATTCTTCATTCCATTTGGCCTAGCGAAGACTAGCCAAGTTTTCTTGGTGATGTCAACGCGAAAAGGCTGGTAATAACAGATACTAATACAGATGGAATCCTGATAATTCGAATATGGCTCAATTCGAACATACCGCTTAATTAGAAGTTTTTTCCAGGACCGATTTCTATCAATACGATTCCCACATAAACATTTCTGATAATTCGAACCTCGAACTGGACATGTCCAGTTAATTAGAAGTCCCACAGATTCCACTTACATAGAAAATGTGTGGGATTTGTGCTGATAATTCGAAGTTAGCAAAGTGTAATTCGAAGTTCTCTGTCCACCCTGCACTCACTCGTTGCGCACACATCCGCACACTCACTCATACGTGTACACCACTATTGAACGCGTGAACATTGCCAGTGGGGGCCACCACAGCACAAAGACAAAAATGTGTGGGATTCGTGCTGATAATTCGAAGTTAGCAAAGTGTAATTCGAAGTTCACTGTACACTGTACTAGTCAGTTCAGTTTGCACGAGCAGGCTGTGTCGGTCAGTTCAGTATCCGTAAAATTTGTGTCTAAGGTCCATAGCGCAACTCTGCGTGACCATGAGAGCATTTTGACATACATATTGTGTTGTGGGTTCATGTTTGGATAATTAGAATGTCCGGATAATTAGAAGTTTTTTCCTGGCATTTTGAGGTTCGAATTATCAGGATTTCACCTGTAGTAAATATCACGTCTCCTGCCCCCACCCAGACCTCTCGGTGACTAATCTTCACACTCTGGTTTGCCTTTGCTTATACTGGGATGTTATTTTTCCCAAAGCAACATGGATTTCTTGTACTTGTGTTACGACATAGAAAGCGTCCCTTCGACTCCGGAAATGAAGCAAATGTACCGTACATGTGCTCTGAATTATTGCGTGTTTGGTGTGCACAGTACGTGTGCTGCATGTACTGTTTTAACTGTGAAGACTTGCTTGCTTGGTATGCATAGAGAGTTATCAGCAATGACAAGAAAGGTGGCGGTACTACTGTGCCCACATGGAGAGCTAGGCACTGTTAGAACCGTGCTCCTGCTCAGGCCTTTGTCTTTGACTGTGTTTTGTTTTGGTACTTTCACTGTACTTCTTCTAGGCCCGCTGACTGTTTGCGACAGCTCATCACCCCCAAACAGGATAGTCAGTGACGCGACGCTTTGTAAAGGAGACAATACGATTATCACTGCAGAGACACTGGGATGTGCTGACATCACACCGCCAGGACAACCGCGGGATCTTACTCAAAATGCGAACAAGGATTACATCAGCTTAAAATGGAAGGATCCTCCTGGTCAGTGAACGTGGGAAATTGTGTGTGTGTGCAGCTTCGCACGTCCATGCTGAATCTTGTTTACTTGCTGAGGCTATGTGCAAAAGACATACATGTACTTTAAGTATGGCATCACACTGTGTCCTAGTACAGTACTGGCAACTGAAATCCGACCCCCTGAGCGGTGCGCTCACGTGGCAAAGAATGTGAACCCCCTCCCCGCTCAGGGGTCGGATTTCAGTTGCCAGCACTGTACATCTGACATAGCCTGGATCCAGGACCCTTCACTGCGTATGCATATAAGCGCATGTGGACATAATCTGCACGCACCACGCTAAAGATGAAGTTTGACAATCGCCCCGGGATGGACTATGGTGGCCATGCTTTTCGCCACCAATGATATCACCACTGTGGGGGTACTACTCACCAATGGTATCACCACTGTGGGGGTACTACTGCAATGGTATCACCACTGTGGGGGTACAACTGCAAGTCTACAAATTTTCGGTTCCTTAAATTTTTGGCCTCCCAGGGCTAAAACACGTGTTTGGCCACATTAAAATTTCAGCCTTTACTGCTGCTGCCCGTATACACTGTCACACTGGACCTTGCAAAACGAAAATTTGGCCGGAACAAATATTTGTATGCCAAACATGCCCAGGCCAAAAATAACCCGAATATAAAAATTTAATATCAAGTATGCTACATTATCACATGTCACGTGAGTGTTTCCTTGGATCGGGCCAATCACTGGTCTGTATGAGCGGGCAATAAATCAGTCCAACGCCCGCGTCCAAAGCCCGTCGTCAGTGACAACCCTGACTGAGACTGTACGCGTGAAATCTACGGGATGTGAACATGGTGGGCATGGTGACTGAACGGCGCGCAGTGTGACATGTGAACGCGTGGTCGAAAGTGGCGATCTCAGCTTTCCTCGCGTGACTACGACGACTCTGTAGAATGTACGACTCTACGACGAGTCGCAGTGTAGCATTGAGACGAAGATGGAATTCTTTTTGGAGATGGACATCCCGGCAATGGACATGGCCTCGGACGTCTGCCGTGTGGTGCTTGCAGGGATCATTTGTTCAGTCATGTTGGCAGCCTGACCGTCGGTAAGCTTTTGGATAAGATTCAGTTCTGCTCGAAGTGGCACTGTGATCACAAACAATTATTTGAAATAACACAAATTCAACTCAGCGTCGTGCGTTTTCAGATCCTCGCAAAGTCACTGCCTGTGTGTGGTCTTCATGTGCCACGCAAAACTCTTACCAGGCTCATTTGTCCTCTGCCTTCACCTTTGCTTGAACAACAAACACAACAATTCAGGAATGTTTTGCAATGAAAAATACAGCTATCTGGAGCTGAAAAAAGAAGAAGAAAAATTGTCCTCAGAATTACACAAATACTTGCACTTGTTGCAGTACTGTATTTGACAACTTCCTGATACACATGTAAACATGAAGAAACTCTTTGTGGTAGCACTCTTAATTTTTCAACTGAAATTATGATTCTGCTGTATTTATTGTCGTTGCCATGTCTATTGCTATGACGATGCGGTGCCGGCACTTTTTTCTGTCTCCGTCTTTCAGTACTGTATACTCTCTGATGGCCTGTAGCCGACTTTTTGTTAGGGTGTACTTCTGAAGTAGGAGAAATATCTTCATTTTTCCTGTTTTGATAATGATAGCACATCAATATACATTGTGGTCATAATGTGTTGGCATTTGGGCCAATTTCACCAGCAGCCCAATGGTCTGCTCTGTGGGCCATGTGATAAATTCGTTATCGCATGGTTGCTGCGGGCCTTATGGCATATTATTGCCCCTCGAGGTTAGCCCTCGGGCCTACGGCCCTCGGGCTAACCTCTCGGGGCAATAATATGCCATAAGGCCCTTGCAACCATGCGATAACATATACGTATTAATTTTTATGTGTGGCGATCGGGGTTGATTTTAACAGGCAAATACTCTGATTTATTTTTACGCAGCGAAGATCACTGAATCTGGTGGATAGAGTATGGAATGTACGGGATCTTGGAGACTACCTTGAGTTTAGTGCTAATCTCAATACGTGTGAACTGGGTCGGAGCAGACGAGGGCCAAGCGGCACATACGGTAACAAGCGGAAATATATCGTCTGGAATTTAATTTCGTCTTTTGCGTCCAAGGAGCTTTTGGACTAAATTAAATGCCGGGCTGATGTCGATTAATTTTGTCCAGCTTTCCAATGCATTCTTGTGGTCCATGGACGAGATTTTCAACAGGACGAACTCCGTTTCTTTGTAAAAGTAAAAAAAAGAGTAAATTATCGTGACCGTTCCCAAAGGGAACTCACGACGGCCGCTAACACCCGGTAAACCCTAGCGGCTAGGGTTTCTTTGTAGTTGGACGAAATTATTGACCGACGAAATGTTCTGCCCGTACAGTAACTCTGGTCCCTGGCTAAACGCAGGGCTTCAGGGGCCAGCGAGCTCATGCTGCTCTGGTCCCTGGCTAAACGCAGGGCTTCAGGGGCCAGCGAGCTCATGCTGCTCTGGTCCCTGGCTAAACGCAGGGCTTCAGGGGCCAGCGAGCTCACGCTGCTAGCTTTCACACCAAACGAAACTGTATAGCCTGACGGTTGATTTAGCGTGCTGAGGATTTAATCCTTATATTTGTTCGTAAATGTGCTATTTGCGTACAATAGATGCAGAACACCTGATTGGATATCGGGTGCGAATTATGAGCCAAGATGGAGGAGTCTGGGACATATCAAAGGTACTGTGGAGTAAATCGACTGTGCATGGCCACGCATGTCCTTATCCTTGGTATAAATACTCACCTTCGGGGGCTTTCCCACTTTGAAGTAGGTTGAAAGTGGCCTGACAGTATCAGGGCATGTAACCTTGTGTCCTACTTCATCAAGCTGCGTTTGGTAGGAGCAGATGCTATTTATTGTTGATTTGATATGATTGTTTGACGTGCTGATGTATGCTCCCCAAGTTGATGTCATTGGGTGCCGCAATACTCGGCTGTCTCCTGGGATGGAACATTCAATCGTGTATGTTGTCTGGGCTGTCGCTCTTTTCTTCAACGGAACTCAGTGGTGGATACCACTCCAGAGTGAGCGTGCGGCATTGCACCCTTTCAACCGTGACCCCCCCCCCACACACACACACACATGCACAAACATATTCATGAGAGGATTTTGCCTCTGTAGGAGGGCAGGGCAGGGCCATTCTAATCATGAAATAGGTGTGTCGTTGCTTCTCAAGGCTTGAAAGGGGATAAAGCCGCACCTTCTCATCCTGCCTGCTCACATGCGCAAGTGTGTATTATTTTAAGTTTTATTTTTTACCTGTGTTTGGGTGTGAACTTGCAGAGGTACATGAGAGAATCAGGCGTGGCTGGTATAAACAATCGGCTTGTGATCGCTCTTACGGGTAACTTCGACAGCAGTTCTGTAGTTGATGGCGTGGTCATTAAAATTCCCAAGTGCAATATTCACCCGGTCGGACGCCACGACACAAAAGTGCAGGTAAGATTCCAGTGCCTGGCACCTATGATATCTCGAGTCCGCATTTCCTAAATGTGCAGCTGCATACTCCATTGATGCATGGGGATTTTCAACGGTCGCAGTGACGTCCAAACTTCTTGCATCAGCTGTACATTGTACACAACTGGCCAAATCCAACCTCATGAATAAAATAGCACCGGGCGCTACGCAGCCCTAGCACTACACATACTGGCCTGTGCACTCGAACGTTGCGCTGCTTTATTCTTGAGGTTGGATTTCTCTGACCAGCACTAGTAGCAGTTCAGTAGAACTCCAACAAGACATACACATTGGGAAGTGGAAGAAATTACATGTAATTACTATCCGAGGCACTTATCAAAAGTTGAGTCCCGCGGCACGACCAGCATGTGAATGCGGCTCGGGTACTACGTCGAAACGTACGAAATTGTGTATTGCAATCAGACATATACGTGCTCATGCCTAGTGTCACCGATCCTTTTCTCACAGGGAGGTGAGGAGGCATCAAGCCAGGGTGCCTGCACTGCCTACAGCCTGATTTTCCTAGAAGCGTAATGCAACCATGCTAACTTTCTCCCTCCAGGTCGCATCGTTGCCTTATGGTTACAATGCAAAGACACTGCCACGCATTGAAGTGGAAATAAAAATTACCGGTAAGGGCGTATTCTGTGACACAGAACGGGAGAACGTTTTGACAAAATTCTTCCTATTTTAAGGTAGCTGGAAAAGGAAATCAAAAACTTTTTGTGGTGAACAGTCACTTTTCTTGGTTTTGCAAGTGTATTACAACTCGTAGAGTTGACTTGTAAAAAAGTAAGCGAGCATTTCGGGCCAATTTCTCGTAATGGCCTATTTGAGCAAAATAGGTGGTAATTAGAGCAAAAATGCAAAATATCCCATTTTAGGGTGCTCATTACTCCGCAATATTGATGGTGACCAGCTACTTTTTTTGGCCATTTCATCTCCACCTGGTACACAGAATGCACTGCACACTTCACATCCGAAATATTTCGGGCCAATTTGAAAATCTGACTTAGTTCCCAGCTATCATAATCGGATCTGGCGGACCTATTTGCAATGAGCAGTTCAGAGCAGAGAGACCGAAGTTCGGCTAATACTTGAACACAATGTCATGTCACGTAGATTTTGTATGCAACAAAGTTAGCAAATCTGTAGGTTGTCTGATACCTCACTGCTCCCAGTTGTCCCCCGAATGTATTCGTCTCTTTTATAAATGCTACTTTCTTCCTATCTTTCTGTACGGCGCCACTGCTTGGCATTCCCTGCTTAGTAAACCTGCTGTACATGCACTAGAAATACATCATAAGCGTGTGTTAAAAATTACTTTTCGTAAACCCTCTCTATTCCCCTCTACTGATCTATATAGTTTGGCCTCCACCAGCCCCATCTGTATCCTATCGCAGAGACAGTCATGCGTTCTCGTCCATTGTATTAAACTGAACATTGTCCCTGAACATCTCAGCAAGTATAATAGGTTTACTTTCGCACGGGACACTCGCAATGGCATAGTACTTCCCAGAGCTTTGTCAACTATGTTTACCAAATCCCCTATCTTTTCTGCAAATTCGTATTGGCTCAAGCTGCCCAGTGGAAATGAAGACAATATCCAATATTAGACAGTTCCTTAAAGGGGAAGTATACCCTAAAATCAAATTTTCACCAGTTGTAGTCTTCTGGGTGCTGAGTCGAATGGTCTTGGTCCGAGGAAGCTGCGACGCTCCCTTCCTACTTGAATCCCAATCGAACTCGCGCACTTCCACCGAAACTGGGTGACTGCGCCCTACTAGATGGGGATTTGTATGCAAAATGTCACTAAAAGCGCCATTTCGTTCTTATAAAAGCACGGATGACCGCGATTGGCCCATATGTTGTAGTCTTTTGGACGCTGAGTCGACTGGTTTTGGTCCGAAAAGGCTACGATGCAGCGTTCCTCCTTTATTCCCAATCGAACATGGTTGAACAAGCGGTCACGTGCTCCTGGATGCCCAAATCACCTGGTCACCGCGCCAGCAGGCGACAACTTTCACACCAAGGTTCAACTCGAGTTCAACTCGAGTGACAGGACTGCACCCAAAAAAGGTCAAACAGGCTAGTAAGTTGTACCCTGCAGGCACGGTGACCAGGTGACTGGTGTACGCAGGAGCACGTGACCGCTTGTTCAACCATGTTCGATTGGGAATAAAGGAGGAACGCTATCTCGCAGCCTTTTCGGACCAAAACCAGTCGACTCAGCGTCCAAAAGACTACAACATATGGGCCAATCGCGGTCATCCGTGCTTTTATAAGAACGAAATGGCGCTTTTAGTGACATTTTGCATACAAATCCCCATCTAGTAGGGCGCAGTCACCCAGTTTCGGTGGAAGTGCGCGAGTTCGATTGGGAATAAAGGAGGAAGGGGGCGTCTCAGCTTCCTCGGACCAAGACCATTCGACTCAGCACCCCGAAGACTACAACTGGTGAAAATTTGATTTTAGGGTATACTTCCCCTTTAACCATGTCATGCCAAGTTGTAGGCTCACTCGCCTCTTTTGCTAGCTTATCTCGCCACTATCGACCATGGTCAACATAGTGATAATTTTCACCCCGCTGATGCGTTATTTTCTTCCGATTATTATTCTGAAGTGTGTCCTTTTTATGAGTATTATCGCATTTTTGTCTCAGAGGAAACTGATTATTATGTTCTTTCCTTTTCTTCTTTTTTTCCTTCTCTTGCCATGGCTGGCTAGCACCCCCTCCTTTGCATTGGCTTCTGCCATTGGACGGTGAAATAAAAAAATGCCAAAGCGCGGGCATGACATGACGCAGGACTTTGGATGTATTGCCTTTAGCTAGCCCTGTTATGAAAAGACTGTGCCCAGTTCCTGATGGGTACACAATGTTGATTTAAACGAGCTATGGTACAGAAACAGGAATAAAGGACTAACTTAGCGATATGTTTGTACGTTGAATGGAAACGGTGGGACGTGATTTGATGGGTAGAAACTTCTACTCCTCTCCTCAGATCACCTCATTGGTAGTGCGGCGTATCTGCCTAATTGTAGACGAGAGAATGCATCGGCGATTCATCACATGTAGTTTACATGTTCTTTATTTGTGAATGATGCAGATTGTATGACGCGTGGATGTGTCACACATTCAGGTGAGAAAGATCAGGTTTGGCCACCCTGTATATGCAATACTTGATGAGTAGCTCTGGGAATGAAATGTTGGCGTCTGGACATATCCGACCATTGTTCCAGGTGTTAGGGTCTGGTGGAGAATAAAATCTTATCCAGAACCATGAAATGCACTTACCGTATTATCTCCATTACAAGCGGGGTCTCTTGTAGAAGCCCAGTCTCTATTATAAGCGCACTCCAAGTGGGCTTCGAAGATATACAAGCGCAGTCTCCAGTATAAGCGCAGGGCTTATAATGGAGAACTGTATGGATCATATATCATACATAATGTTTGACTTCACACAGTATCACATAAAAACATGCTGTGGTGAATTTCTGTGATCTCCGAGATAAAAAGTTCAGACTCGAGTATACCAGGAAGCACAAAACTGCAGTCACGGTAGATGCTGAGAAACTTTGTGCCACTGGTATAGCATAAAATTATTAACCAATGTAACATGTGCCAGATGGTCGAAAAAAAGCCCAGTCTCTAGTAGAAGCCCGGGGTCCGGACTGGTTGAAATATATAAACCCTGGGCTTATAATGGAGCCGGATAATACGGTATTTAGAGAACAGTCAACTTGTACTGAGGTTTGGCGTTTGTGTATTCAGTACAAACTGTCTTCATTTGGGCAAAGTCTGCCATGATCTGTACCACTGTCCTTGCTTTTGTGCCTGTTGTGTTGTCTCTTTTTCCTGTGCAGCGAACCCATTCTGCACCTGTGGTGAGTAAATCCAGTACCGATAGTACTTTTACAGGCAGTGACGGTGAAATATTGCGGTATTCTTGTGGGTGACACCTCTCTTGTTATGGTGCTTTATGCTGGTGAGAACGTACTCGGTTACGATTTCCCCCGGAACCTTAATGACAGGTTGCATAGACCTCGGTGCTATCAGTAGGACCTACCGGTAGGACCATCATACACAGACATGCTACATGGCCTCTGTTCTAAATTCTAACATTGACCTAAAACCTGACCCTAAACCGTTGCTAAGTGGCTAGTGAAGGAGTCCACAAATTTTAGACGTGATCGCACAAGGCATTCTACGAAAATCCACGGCAACAGCACATGATAACCATGGAGACGGAGTATGGAATTTTGCATTCCCCTGCCTTGGCAGACTAATAAAAACATTAGGTCCTCACCACGATTGATGTGCCATGGTGAAAATTCACTTTGGACAGAGTTGCTAGCGCTCCGACAGGAGTATGTGTGGCCATTTTGATAATTGATAAAATTGCACATATGCAATGCACAGGACATAGTCTTGCATTTTTGCCTGACAAAGACCTCATCATAACAGTTGTTTCAAGAAATTTCTGAACCAAAAGCACTTTTGCAGCCCGATTTCTTGGGTCCTGCCGGTAGGATGGCATGCAAGCTATCCATAACCTACCGTACCTCATAATCCCTGTTCTGTTCTGTTCTGTTCTGTTCTGTTTCTTGCATTCTTCTGTTCTGCTCTAGATCACATGGCAATTCATGTGGACGATGTAGACTTTGTTGATAATTCTTCTGCCGTGATAAACTGGAGCTGGAGTGAGTGGGCTCGAAACCCAAAAACGGTGTATACAATGCAGGTTCGTTTTGGAAGGAGGACATCTTCTGGCCATTGCGAGCATTTGCAGCGAGGTAAAGAGAGAACAATTAGATCGGTAAGTGAGGTCACCTCACATCTGTGTACTGTAGGAATTGGGCTATTTTTTTGCCTGTGTTTCGCACATGTATGCTGCATGTAGTCAGGATCCAACACCCTGTGTTGTTGTCTGTGTGCTTGGTTGGTTGTTCAAATCCAATGGTCTGGTATAAGTGGCTGAATGTCCCGCCACACCTGTCAAAATTAAAGGGGAAGTATACCCTAAAATCAAATTTTCACCAGTTGTAGTCTTCGGGGTGCTGAGTCGAATGGTCTTGGTCTGAGGAAGCTGAGACACTCCCTTCCTCCTTTATTCCCAATCGAACTCGCGCACACCAGTCGCCTGGTCACCGTGCGTGCAAGCTACAATTTTCACACCAGGTTCAACTCAAAGGTTCAAACTAGGGAGTCGTAAGAGGCTTACGACTCTCTGGTTCAAAGGTTCAACTTGAGTGACAGGAACGGGTCCAAATAGGCTGTAAATTGTAGCCTGAGGGCACCATGACCAGGTGACTGGTGTATGCATGAGCACGTGACCGCTTACTCAACCGTGTTCGATTGGGAATAAGGGCCGAACGCTGCTTCGCAGCCTTTTCGGACCAAAACCAGTCGACTCAGCGGCCAAAAGACTACAACATATGGACCAATCGCGGTCATCCGTGCTTTTATAAGAACGAAACGGCGTGTTTAGTGACTTTTTCCATACAAATCCCTATCTAGTAGGACGCAGTCACCCAGTTTCGGTGGAAGTGTGCGAGTTCGATTGGGAATAAAGGAGGAAGGGAGCGTCTCAGCTTCCTCGGACCAAGACCATTCGACTCGGCAACCCGAAGACTACAACTGGTAAATTTTGATTTTAGGGTGTTACACAGTGCTGCCAAACCGTCCGATTTTTCGGACAATGTCCGAGTTTTGAAGGCTGTTCCGAAAACCGGTCCGAAATTGGAAACGTTCGAAAAAGCAGCCAAAATTGTCAGGGATCAGTACTTTCCTATGCAGAAGTCCTGTATTTTCACTTTTCAGCGCAACTGAAGGCGCAAATCACTGTACTAGTTCAGTATAGTCATGTACATGTAACATCAGTTACATGTAAAAAGGCTAGCGCTTGGCCGGCTGTGGAAGTGCAAACTACTTGAGTAACATGCCTGGGTGGCATGTACACTGACTGTACAGTGTGCGACCACACTCATCATGCATTACAAAATTCATGACAACTTCGGGGGTGCCATATCGGTTACCATGGCAACGGAGCGATTTTTCATGGTATTTTGGGCAATATTTTGAATTCTCTGGAAAAATTGCCTTGGAGAAAAAGTCCCACCATGTGGCCAGCCTTGGCGGTGAATGGTGTCCGATTTTGGACGAAAATTATTTGGCAGCATTGGGTATACTTCCGGTGGCAGACTGGTTTCGCGACCTTTTTTCAGACTCAAACGAGCTTCATCGAGCATAACTTGGGTACAAATCAATGGATTCACTTCAAATTTTCAACACTGAATCCTTATACGAACAGATTTCAGATAGGACACTACCCAATGAGCTGTGTTCGTCGATCATCATTTCACCGTCAACCAAATTTCCCAGATGACGGGCGAAAAATAGCCGAACTTCGGGACAAAAATACAATGACAACGTAAATGACAACCTGTCAAAAAAAGATCCAAGGGTAACATACTAGCTATTGAAAGTATCATGGACCAAAACAGCTTGGTCCAAAAGCTAAAACAATCAGCCTAGCCACCGATCAAGTCACAAATGTCCAATCGCGCATAGATAAGGTACATTTCAATGGAACAAAATCCATTGCAGTAGGAACTTTCGGCGTAAACTGTGGTCCATGATGACACAAATGCACCACATTTTCCAAAAATGTATAGTTTTCTATACCTAAAACTGAGTCTCAACAGTCAAAGAGTGTCCCAAAATGCCGGAATAGGGCAAAAAACAGGAATATTCTGCTATCTAAACTAAGTGTTCTCAACTACATTTTCCACTCGAAAACTGCTCAAAAGCCACCAGAAGCAGAGGTGACTCCCTCTTCCTCCATAGTATCCTCCTCCAGACCCTTCCTGACTCTTCTTCTTCTTTTCCTAGCCTCTTTCTCTTCTGTGCAGTGCTTTCTCTTGGAGAAATACAGACGATCAGCATCCATGCATGATAGCCTATTCGAGGTGCTGCGGGACGTGGCTCAGCCCATTTCTTCAAGAACACGCTCAAACATCTTGGAGCCGTGGTTGAACTTGATGACAGCAAGTCCAGCAGATGCCTTGACAGTTTCAACACCACAGAAACCAGTCTTTGGGCAATACTGCCACACCAAACCATTCAGAGCTTCGTTTTGGTTTTGGGTGGCTACATGTCGGCAGCGCTCCAAGAGTGGCTTGTCCGCTAGCCGTTGATATATTATCGGCTTGACGGCTTCAAACACCGCAGATAGTATGGGATTTCGATGAATATATGGTGGTGCTTTCCCAGCCTTCCACTGCTGCCACTTGCAAAAGCTATCATCATCTGTTGGGCAGAACTGGTGCATTGGCTTTGCATCCGTAGAAGCCTGGTGGCAAATTGACGCCCGAACGAGTCGTGCCATGTTAGTGATTGGGTCGCCAGGTAGTTGAGCGCCATTCCCGATGGCTAAGTTGTAATATGTTTGCAGTGAGTCGCATAGATCATCTGTCAGGCGCCCTCGACCACTAACCGGCTTTCCATCACTCAGCGGTGTTTTCTTCCTCTTGAGTTCACGCAATGCCTTGCCCAGGCGCTTCGACACATGCCCGACACACTCCTCCTTCGTGATCTCTACGTCTCCGTATGGCTTGGCATTGACAACTGCCTGGAAGCCTTTACTGTCACCATCACCAATGTATGTGGTGTACATCAGTTTCCTGGTAGCGACTGAGCGAAATGAACAGTGTCACTACACCTTCAGTTTCCATTGCCGGAGATGAAGCAGTAGTATTGACATCGCACACATGATCCGCACTCCACGCTTCAAATTCGGCCCGGGAGACTTTGCCAGAACGCCTGTCGGACCTCCAACGCTGCCAGCTACTGCAATGTTTGCTCAGAACACAGAAATCCAGAACTTGGCCCGTCTCCCACGAAATAGCAAACACCATGCCGTACCGACTTGAAAACCCGCGTTTCATCCAGGTGCCGTCAATCGTCACAGCAATTTGGTCATTTGGTCTGGATGATCTGTATCTAGATTACTAAGACTAGGAAGCCTGCTCAGCTGCCTTCAACATGCTTTGCTGAACCACTGTTTCAATACTGGAGCACATAACACTGCCGTGCTCATAGTATGTGCTCTTGGACATGGGACGCGGCAACCCAAGAATGCCAAATAGCGTCGTCATTGCGGAGTACCCTTTTCCGATGCATCTCATAGCCAGTGCAGCTCTCCTGTTAACGTCATAATGACGACCTTGTATTCCCTTTACACCCACAGGGACTTTCTTTTGAATGCGGCCTAATATTTCCTCATACCTTCGATGGCCTCATCCATATGCTGAATTTCACTGGCTTTTGTGTTGATCTTATTCCAAAGCAGACCATCTGGTAAAAGGAGAGCGATCGCTCTTGCGCGCCTTCGCTCTCCTTATTTTCTTTTAGGGCGCACTTTTCGTCGCGCGCCTTGAGAATTTCGAGCGCATCCGCATCACTATGAAGTTCTGAAAACACTCAAATATTTCGTAACTCGGCTTTCCCTGAACGGAATCGAGTAATCGAAAGATCTATTTGCATAAGAAAGTTCTCCGCTGTCGGCTCTAACAAATCGAAAGTCGATCCGAGGTCCAATAGTGGAGTGACGGCACTCGCAAGGTATTTTACGTACCGTTGCAAATTTTCACTTCCGCACACATAATTTTGACATAAAGGTTTTCCCTCTTTTGCGTGACAGTCCGGGCATGCATAGACCTGTGTACGTGTGCCGCCAGGCACAGGTCTTTAGCCGTCAGCTACAGAACAAAGCCTCAAAGGAGCGCTCTACGATGAATACTACAAAAATACCCTGGATCTTAGCGAATTGTCTCACTTTCCCATTGCGCGTGTCATTGTCCCTGATGAAGGGAAACTAAAGTTGTGGTCCGAACAGCTTTCATTTGTAGTGCGTACGGCGATTTTCCAGAACGAATTTGGCAGCTATTGGGTATTGAATCCGATTGGGGTATGGCAAGATGTTGAAAAACACGTATTGTGCTCGCCTTGGATAGATAAGGTGAGCGACTTTTTTGGGGGGGGGGGACTGCTCTCCCACCACTCTCCTTGAGAGGATAGCGAGAGTGATTGTTCACTCTCCTGGATTTTTCTTACACGAAGGTCTGCAAAGCATATCTATAAATGTGCATGTCCTTGATGAAGCAAACAGGAAATATTAGGCGGCATTAGAAGTCCTTTGTTTCGGGTAACCGATGTTTTGAGCGCTGATCGGTTTTTGTTGTTGTATGCATTCATACATACTGTATTATCTCTAATAATATATAAGCACAGTCTCCAATAATAGAACACCTTGGGGCGGCGTTCAAAAAATAAAGTGCTCAGTCTCCAGTATAAGCACACTGTGAAGTGCTCACTGTGAAGTGCTCTGAAAAACACCCGGGCCTCCGGGCCTCCAATAAAGGACACCGTACGGTAGTATATGTACGCGCATTGCATGTACATGTTATCATGGTCAGTCGTGCGATCTCGCGCGGTGCACCAACCTCTGAAATGAGGTTGAAATAATAATGGAACAGTCTCCAATAAAGGAACGTCTCCATTAATAGCACGGGGCGGAGGTACATTGAAAAAATAAAGGACCGTGCTTATATTAGAGATAATACGGGTATGCACATCATACGTGCTCGTACTTCGCATTGTGCTGGGCCCAAGACCAAGGCTCTTCCTTCCTGCTCCTGGCTCTTGCCGGCTAGACATTTCAGTTCTTTGTATCGAGTTGACTTGATTCAGTCAGATTTGTTGCAGGGTAGTCCTATTTGCCAAGCTTAACGTTTTCGACGATGACATGTTGTAGTTTAGAAACTCTCGTGGCTAAAATGTTTCCATCACTTGACAGTGGCTGGACCGTCGTCAACAGCTGCATTGTTCGAGCCCCGTACCCTGAGCAATTTGTTAGAAACTCTTCATCCAGAAGGTGTCCCTCGTTCAAAGTAGTGTTTGCTTCCGAAACCGGGTCGAGCCGCAATGGTGCTGACAAGAGGGATAATGTTGGACTTCATTTGGAGTTCCGACACAGATTCTTTTTCTTTGCATTGGAGCAACAGGAAGCTGTAGTTCCTTGTCCCACAATGATCGCTGAACGACGTGTTGATGCGCTACGTCTCGGAGCTCTGCCAGTTTGACTGTTCCTGGCGGTCTGATCCAGCTGTTGATTGCTATGTAGTCTACATGTATGCCTGCTTTATCGACCGCGCATTTTCTATCTGGGCTGTGTATTGTACACATGCATACCGCTCTGGCACGCGTAAAGTATTAGCAAAAAAATGAAAGCCGACCAACTGACCGGTGTTTTTCTGGCCATGTTACCCACAACAAAAAAACTTCTTCTGTGCGGCCATATTTGAAAGAGGTTGGCATTTGCGGAAGGTTATACCTTTTTCTGTATTTGACCTAATTATCGTAGTGTCGAGTTATCTCCATGAATATAGTTTGGAGTTGCCGATGTGAACTAACAATATGTTTTTGGTGTCTCCATTCTGGTTGGAGAGAACCATTTAGTTGGATATTGGCAGTCTTACGACGAGCCAGGAAATGTTGTTGAATAAAAGAGAGAGCTTGGAAGCTCAGGGCCCTACGCTATGCTTTTTTGCCTAGCTCATCATGCATGTTATTAGAACTGATGGAAATGTTTTTTTCCATTGATTGGCTACATCATTGTATTGGAAAAAACGTTTCAATCAATTTGAATATGAGTTAGGCAAAAGTAATTGCAGAATGTATTGGGGATTGTTACTTTCTCCCACTTCATCCACTTCTGGTTTGCTCCTTCTTTTCCTTTTTATCTCCTTATAATCGGATTTTCTGGTCTTTTTGTAGTAATACATTGACCTGTTGAGCCAATGAGGTAAAATTATATTCCATACAGTAGGATACAATAAGAGAACAGAGAAAGTGTTTAACTCCGAGTATAGGATACAATACAATAATACAATAATTTCCTTGTCCCTTTGCCCAAAATGTATGTGAGGGGTACCTGCTTCAATAAATCCACTCACCACACCCAAGCAGCTGATATTGTGTACACTTTATGTTTTCCTAAAAGCTTGTGATAATTGTGAACTAAAAATGCACTTTGGGTTGAATTCTTCAGATAGGCGTGGCTCTTTGTATTGGCCGGTGTTGTCACTGTGCTATGAGATGCTGTAATAAATAAAATAAATAATAATAAATATACAAGAGTATCAAAAATGATCTTTTGGCAAAATCGGCAAAATTCAAAGTTCTAGTTCTTTCCTATGTATAATAATGTGCAATTTGTACAAGTATGACCTGGAGTAGTACCCCTGGCATGTTGGGAAAACACGGAGCATTAGCCAGAGGAGCACCAGTGGCGACATGCTGGACAGTTCGGCCCCGTGCGGCCACTGTCCTCGCTCTGCGCGGCTGTCGACCATGAGTTTGATGGCACTCAGGTGACGGAGATCTGGACCTCTCTGGGATCGGACTACGCTCCCGCTCCACGAGCTGCGGTATTCTAGCTGACCCTGCTGCGCCACAACGGGTAAGACACGGCGGTGGTACACTCTCTTCACCACTCGAAGGCTGTTCTGCCGATCCTGCACTCAAATCGGAGTTGTCGACATGTCCGACAGTTGGGTCGACGGTTACGACATCATAAACCGCGTCGTAATCAAAATCAGAATCAACACCTTCAACTAAGGCTTCGTCCAGTTCGTTCTCTTCATCAGAGGACATAGGATTGTCGCTCGGGTCACTCCAGCTATCCTCAAACAAGCGCTTCATCTGCATCAACTTCAAGTGACCTGCGTGCTGCCATGTCGGAAGTTACGGCGCAAGCAAACTACGACTTTGATTTCCTGAAATTTTTCAAATGGCAACTAGCCCCAGCGACCCGTGTAGCATAGGCTGTGTGCACGTGAATTTATATGTGGATCGGGTGATCTGCGTAGCTTCCAGGTCGCTTTGAACATGCGTGGGTACACAGGTGTATGGTACAAGTATGGGCGAAAGGACAAAGGGTTAACTGTTGCTGACGGCCGAATTCATGGTTGCCTGTGGAGCACATTACATCATTTTAGAGTTTCCTATTACGCATCCTGTCCGACGGCAAAAGAGGCTGCGGATTTAGTTTTTCTGCACGTTATCAGGAATGATTACTGATCTTCAGCAACTTGGGTCTCCTATAATACGCATCCTGTCTATGCTTTTGTAATGCTATCATAATGCTCGGGATAGCACTCGCTACTGATCTTCAGAAACTTGGCCTTACTCTCACTCACAATAAGACTGTTGTAATGTTCATCGTTCCCAAGCGGTCGCTGGTTTCTCCCACAATTTCATCGTACTGTTGTACGACATACTATACGACAACCTTATACCGTACAACACCGTATTTTATTTATTTTATTTCACCGTCCAATGGCAGAAGCCAATGCAAAGGAGGGGGCGTTAGCGAGCCATGGCAAGAGAAGAAAAAGAAAGAAAGAAGGAAAGAATATGATAATCGAAAGAAAAGAATGCATCAGCGGGGTGAAATTTGTCACTATGTGTAACTTGACCATGGTGGAGAGCGGCGAGATAAGCTATAGCAAAAGAGGCGAGCGAGCCTACAACGTGGCATGACATTTAACATGGTCTATAAACTGTCTAATATTGGATATTACCTTCATTTCCATGGGCAGCTTGAGCCAATAAGAATATGCAGAAAAGATAGGAGATTTGGTAAACATAGTTGACAAAGCTCTGGGAAGTACTATGCCATTGCGAGTGTCCTGTGCGAAAGTAAACCAATTATACTTGCTGAGATGTTCAGGGACAATGTTCAGTTTAATACGATGAGCCAGAATGCATGACTGTCTCTGTGACAGGATAGAGATGGGGCTGGTGGAGGCCAAACTATATAGATCAGTAGAGGGGAATAGAGAGGGTTTACGAAAAATAATTTTCAACACATGTTTATGATGTATTTCTAGTGCCTGTACAGCAGATTTACTAAGCAGGGAATGCCAAGCAGTGGCGCCGTACAGGAAGATAGGAAGAAGGTAGCATTTATAAAAGAGACGAATACATTCGGGGGACAAGTGGGAGGAGTGAGACATCAGGCAACCTACAGATTTGCTAACTTTGTTGCATTGATGTCTGGCTTGCTGTCTTTGATGGTACGGGACAGGTACGGGATAGCGCCAGGCATGCCGATGGCACAAAAAAAAACAAAAAACAAGGAATTAAAGCTGTGTGGACCCTGGCCAGCACCAGACGTTACTGAAGTCACGTCTTTTGCATAGCTACGGGAATACATAAATAAAATCTGGACTGTTCTCAGTGTGGTTGTGTTCTCCGTGCCTGTTTCTGCAGGGGATGAGCAACATGCCGATCATGATGACCAGCGAGCGACTGACGGACTGCATGAAAGTCCAGGTCTGTACAAAGCTGGGAGCGGTGTGAATTGGAGACACGCACACCACCGCACTTGGACTCCTTGAATTATCACATAGACTCAGTGTGTTGTTAACTGACAGTAGTATATTGTACTCCACTCTTCAGTGAATGCACCCGCTCGTCTGTTGTTGGCCTAGCCCTTGCCTATAATGAGAAGGCACCATTGCTTGTTTACTTGATGAAGTAAAAGTACAGATCATCATACTGTGTCACCCAAATATTTGAAATTCGACATTTTGGACAATGGTATATAGTGTGTACTAGGCGGCCCAGATTTAAAGGGAAAGTATACCGTATTTCCCCGATTATAGGTCGCACTCGATTATAAGTCGCACCCCCATTTCCAGGTTTGAGCAATATTTTTTTGATATTATTGACTTCAGTAGTGAGTCATGCTCGATTGTAAGTCGCACCCCCATTTTCACCCTTGGTTTTCAGTGTAAAAAGGTGCGACCTATAATCGGGGAAATACGGTACCCTAAAATCAAAATTTCGCCAGTTGTAGTCTTCCGGGTGCTGAGTCGAATGCTCTTGGTCCGAGGAAGCTGAGACGCTTTCTTCCTCCTTTATTCCCAATCGAACTCGCGCACTTCCACCGGAACTGGGTGACTGTGCCCTGCTAGATCGGGATTTTTATGCAAAATGTCACTAAAAGCGCCGTTTTGTTCTTATAAAATGCGGATGACCGCGATTAGCCCGTATGTTGTAGCGTTCGGCCCTTGTTCCCAATCGAGCCCGGTTGAGTAAGCGGTCACGTGCTCGTGCGTACACCAGTCGCCTGGCCACTGTGCCTGCAGGCTAAAACTTTCACACCAAAGTTCAACTCAAAGGTTCAAAGGTTCAACTCGAGTGACAGAAACGCTGTAAAAGTTGTAGCCTGCGGGCACGGTGACCAGGTGACTGGTGTATGCATGAGCACGTGACCACTTGCTCACCCGTGTTCGATTGGGAATAAGGGCCTAACGCTGCATTGCAGCCTTTTCGGACCAAAACCAGTCGACTCAGCGTCCAAAAGACTACAACATATGGACCAATCGCGGTCATCCGTGCTTTTATAAGAACGAAATGGCGCTTTTAGTGACATTTTGCCCACAAATCCTCATCTAGTAGTAGCAGGGCGCAGTCACCCAGTTTCGGTGGAAGTGCACGAGTTCGATTGGGAATAAAGGAGGAAGGGAGCGCCTCAGCTTCCTCGGACCAAGACCATTCGACTCAGAACCCCAAAGACTACCACTGGTGAAAAATGTGATTTAGGGTATACTTTCCCCTTAAAGGGGAAGTTAAGGCAAAAATTAAAATTTCACCAGTTGTAGTCTTCGGGGTGCTGAGTCGAATGGTCGTGGTCCGAGGAAGCTGAGACGCTCCCTTCCTACTTGAATCCCAATCGAACTCGCGGACTTCCACCGAAACTGGGTGACTGCGCCCTACTAGATGGGGATTTGTATGCAAAATGTCACTAAAAGCGCCATTTCGTTCTTATAAAAGTACGGATGACCGCGATTGGCCCATATGTTGTAGTCTCTTGGACGCTGAGTCGATTCGTTTTGGTCCGAAAAGGCTGCGAAGCAGCGTTCCTCCTTTATTCCCAATCGAACATGGTTGAAGAAGCGGTCACGTGCTCCTGCGTACACCAGTCACCTGGTCACCGTGCCTGCAGGGTACAACTTACTAGCCTGTTTGACCTTTTTTGGGTGCAGTCCTGTCACTCGAGTTGAACTCGAGTTGAACCTTGGTGTGAAAGTTGTCGCCTGCTGGCGTGGTGACCAGGTGATTTGGGCACCCAGGAGCACGTGACCGCTTCTTCAACCATGTTCGATTGGGAATGAAGGAGGAACGCTGCATCGCAGCCTTTTCGGACCAAAACCAGGTGACTCAGCGTCCAAAAGACTACAAAATATGGGCCAATCGCGGTCATCCGTGCTTTTATAAGAACGAAATGGCGCTTTTAGTGACATTTTGCATACAAATCCCCATCTAGTAGGGCGCAGTCACCCAGTTTCGGTGGAAGTGGGCGAGTTCGATTGGGATTCAAGTAGGAAGGGAGCGTCTCAGCTTCCTCGGACCACGACCATTCGACTCAGCACCCCGAAGACTACAACTGGAGAAATTTTAATTTTTGCCTTAACTTCCCCTTTAATTCGTCGTTTCGGCTCATCCGATCACTGCTTTCCTTTTTACATTTTTATAACCGCAGAAAACATTATAAGTAGCCACGAGTCCAATGGCGATGGAATCAATGCTCTCTTTATGGCGTTCACGCTTGAAGGCATAGTTTGTTTGCGAAAACGATGTCTGGGCTGACGATGTCTGGGCTGGCGGAACCCTGATGATGCTGTTGGGGTTGTTGGCTGCTGAACGAATGTAGACGTACAATTGGTGGAGCGTTATAATTAGGGCTCAAACGGCTACGGTTTTCACCTTAACGGTTAACTGCTACGCTAACGGTCGGTTTATCGATTATAACCTATAAGCTGTGGCAGTCTGGCGCGTAGCTAGTTTGAACAGTATTGTACAATATACTTGGTCAAAAATGTACTGTGCAGACTTACTACTAAGTACTAATCCATGCAGCACATGTTGGCATGCTCATTCATGCCTATTCACATACAAGGAGCATTGATTTAAAGATGGCGTGAAATTGATTCAAATTGTCACGGATGGTACTATGTAGTGTGCATGTATGCATGTGTACATACACGATAGGTTGTAAAACTGCCAAAACTCGGTAAAGATGCGTACTTCGAAAACTCGAAAAAGTACCCGCGTAACCTTTATCTTAAACCGGTTAATCGGACTAACTGTTTGAGCCCTTGTTATAGTTATGACTGTCAACATGGCTTGGCACACTGAGAAAAGATTGAAACCGCGATCAATGGACTAGCCATGACTACAGCTGACTCTTAACGTGACCCGAAATAAAAATATTTCTAGATAGCCCATGGTCTTCCTTATACTTTGTGTTGTGTGTGAATCAATTCCCCCGCCATCATTATACTCAAGGACGGCTCACCAGGTGTGCAAGAACGGACTCAGATGGACAGCCAAGTTATGTTATGTTATCGCATGAGCTGATTGTTTAGTAACTGGTGGTGTTAGTGGACATTATTCCCATAGCTATGCAAAAGACGTTACTTCAGTAACGTCTGGCGCTAGCCAGGGTCCACACAGCTTTAATTCCGTGTTTGTTTGTTTGTGCCATCCCGTACCTGTCCCGTACCGTACCATCAAGGACAGCTGGCCACAATATTCAAATAGGGCTTTCAAATGCAAGATCATAACGTGAAACAACTTTGAAGAATGAGTATGTACGCGAAGTGTATCGGTGGAATGCATGCAGGGCGATAGTGCGGGTTCGAATCCTAGGATATGTCTTGAAAAACAAGGAGAAATGAAAATTTTTAACATCCCTGCTTTTTTGCCAAGGTAATCAAGGTTGTAGGCGGTGTCATGTTACCCTCGATTGCAACAAGAAAGTTTATTTCTTTCGCTCAGGGCCCTATGCTATGCTTTCTTGCCTAGCTCATCATGCATGTTATTCGAACAGATGGAAACTGTTTGCAATACAATGATGTAGCCGATCAGTTCGTTGTGGTACGGTTGGGCATTGTACCCGTCATGGTCGACGTCAAACACTATAGCCAATCAGTGGGAAAAAAATTTCCATCAGTTCTAATAACATGAATGATGAGCTAGGAAAAAAAGCATAGCGTAGGGCCTGTGCTTCCAAGCTCTCTCGTAGCGTAACTTGTAATTCCTAGGTCCTTTTTTCTTTTCTATAATTATACTTATTCATCAATGTCCTCTACATGTCCTCTGCATGTGTTTCTCTTTGTATCTTGAACAGATCGAATATAAATTACTGGAATGTTACAGCTGGCATGACTACCCTGAACTGGAAAGTCCATCCTTCTTCTCCGACCCACTTCCAAATGAGCAGCCTCCGGAACATTCTCCTTCTATCACCAGCACCGCCACCAGTGTCACCACCGGCACTCCTCCAACATCTTCCAGCACGTCTGCCGACAGTCGCAACACTACTATTGGTACGTAGATCTACTGAGCCTGTAAACATGCATGTACACCCTGGCTTAGTGTAGCCACTGCCGCCCCCACTGGGTACGAAAACCGTCCTTTACCTTCATAATGTTGAGTATGAATTAGACCCAATATTCTCCAGACATAATTCACAACGGGACAGGTAGGTGGAACGACATTTATTAGGGTAGATGAAGAGACGGAGACAAAGACGAACTACTACGACTACATTATGATTATTGACGAGAGCGAGATTATTTGAAGAGAGCGAGATTATTGAAGAGAGAGAGCTCGACTGAGAAACAACGCAATATAAAGGGCCTGGGTAGCTATGGCAAACATGGGCGCGCAAGTAGCTACCCAGGCCAACGGAACGAAAGGTGAGTATGACGTAGTACGGGTGCATGCAGGATAGACAGATCTGTTCGTGGGAGGAAACTATTGTCTGATCTACTAACATTTGCATGGAGAATGCAACCAACAGCCCCCCCCCCCTGTGACGATGAATTTGGCATGCAGACGTCTGCAGCCCCATGCAGAGCTTGTGGTAAAACTGATTTGCGCATGAAGTTTGTGTATGAAGTTTGTATTTAGATCTGATTATCATGCTCTTCTTACTAACTTGCACGTGTGTATTGTGCCCCTGCAGTATTGTCCCTTGGTGGTCTAGCGGCAATATTAACTTTGCTATTACTGCTGGTCTTCTGCCAGATACGCTTCAACCCTAGAGGTAGGTGGTTGGTAAATAGGTATTTATTTGTGTTGATGTTAAGGGAGGGGGGGGGGGGAGGTAAGGAACTACTTGGACAGTAGGAAGGTACATAACCATAAATGATAGGAACTGCTACAACTTCCAGACGTTGTTTGTAATAGAGCATGTTGTAGCGTGACAACTGGAGACCGAAGAAAGATTGGGCCGCCGTGGTGTGTTTCTCTGCTATAGTAGATGGCAGCCTGAGTTTGTCCAGTGCATGTGAACACGTATGTCCCTGAAGAATGTTGAGTGGTGTGTAATGCATCCCAGGAATTCCTCAAAAACATGAATCACACGCTGGGCATGAGTGAAGGTCTCTTCTTCAAGTGCTGGTTGCAACAGTCAATTTTCTCCAGACATTTCCCATTTCCAACTACCTCAAACTTCTGACTAACGCATGGATTTTCGTAGTCATTTTCAGTCTCACCCCATTGCATTACATGTAATTATGTTGACGATTTAGCAATTTAATAATACTGTATGTCAACAAATATTCGGCGCATATTTATTTTTGGCTATTTTCGGGCTGGTCATGTTTGGCCAAAAATTAGTTGCGGCCGAATTTTTGTTTTGCAAGGTTCAGTGTGACAGTGTATACAGGCGGCGGCAGTACAGGCTGAAAATTTGATGCGGCCAAAGTGGGTTTTAGCCCTGGGAGGCCGGAATTTTTTGAATGGGCCGAAATTTGGTAGACTTACAGTACCTTTTTAAGTGCCTGCCTCACTCTGATGCCTCACTCTGATGCCTCACTCTGATGCCTCACTCTGATGCCTCACTCTGATGCCTCACTCTGATGCCTCACTCTGATGCCTCACTCTGATAGCCTCACTCTGATAGCCTCACTCTGATAGCCTCACTCTGATAGCCTCACTCTGATAGCCTCACTCTGATAGCCTCACTCTGATAGCCTCACTCTGATGCCTCACTCTGATAGCCTCACTCTGATAGCATTTTAGTTAGTAATTGTTTTCTCTGTCCACCTTTGCTGCACTAGCCACCAGTATTATCATAATTGTTTTCACATTCAATGGTTGGCAGCGACCGAGAAAGTTGAGGAAGCCTCCGAAAATGTGTCTGCGTACAGTCTGTATTCTCTATCTAGGCTCGTCACCATTGCTCCACTAGAATTCGGAAGGCAAACGGAGTAAAGAAAAGGTGGCAACAAACAACAAGGGTCAGATTTCCGCTCGACAACTTGCCTGCTCTGATCACTAAGGTCTCGCTGGCAGGAAAGAAGAAAGCATTGGTGTTTTTTTAAATAATAAAAAAAAGGCTTCAACCCTTAGATAAGGGTTCAGCTCCGATGACGAATTGCATTGCCGTAGTGCTCCTACAAAGAAAGCCTAGGCCATAGTGTGGTTGTATTGCCGTAGTGCTCCTACAAAGAAAGCCTAGGCCATAGTGTGATTGTATTGCCGTAGTGCTCCTACAAAGAAAGCCTAGGCCATAGTGTGGTTGTATTGCCGTAGTGCTCCTACAAAGAAAGCCTAGGCCATAGTGTGATTGTATTGCCGTAGTGCTCCTACAAAGAAAGCCTAGGCCATAGTGTGATTGTATTGCCGTAGTGCTCCTACAAAGAAAGCCTAGGCCATAGTGTGGTTGTATTGCCGTAGTGCTCCTACAAAGAAAGCCTAGGCCATAGTGTGATTGTATTGCCGTAGTGCTCCTACAAAGAAAGCCTAGGCCATAGTGTGATTGGCCTACTCTAAGTACTGTACAGACAGAAAATTTCGTCGGTCAATAAGTTCGTCCAACTCCAAAGAAAGGGAGTTCAGTAGCGTATTTTCCGGAGTATAAGCCGCACTTAAAACACCTGGAATTCACCCAAAAAAGTCGAAAAAGTCGGTACTGCTTATACTACGATGGTCAAATTAATTAGCGGTGACAGATAGGGTAGATGTCTGTATGTTGTGACAAAACAATATGGATGCCGCTTAGACTCTATAATTGTAGTACGGCTTATACTCGGAAAAATACGGCATGCGTATTTTGTATTTGTAAAGGAATGCGGAAGCTCTTCGACTCTGGTTTATGTCACCATCTATATGCGTGTGTGTATCTGTGTGTGTATGCGTGCGTGTGTGTGTGTGTGTGTGTGTGTGTGTGTGTGTGTGTGTGTGTGTGTGTGTGTGTGTGTGTGTGTGTGTGTGTGTGTGTGTGTGTGTGTGTGTGCATGTGTGTGTGCATGTGTGTGGTGTGTATGTGTTGTTTTACAGTTAAACAACCCATCAGTGCATGGATCACACAGCACATAGCACCTTGCAAACAACCAAACTACAAGGTGAGTGAATACAACTGGAGACTTTGGTCCAGCGATGCATTGCGATACTCAAGCCGGCTTGTGTATACTAGTAAGTAGGTCAAATTTGAACTGGTGTCAATGTACTCAGACTGGAACTAGAATAGGGAATGGCTGAGTTTCAAAGTACACACCATTACAAAGTCTCACTTATCACTTTGTCTGTTTGTTGATGTGTATGTTTGTGTGCATGTGTGTGTTTGCCGGTGTGTGTGTGTGTGTGTGTGTGTGTGTGTGTGTGTGTGTGTGTGTGTGTGTGTGTGTGTGTTCATTTGTGTTCATGTGTGCGTGTGTGTGTGTGTGGGGGGGGGGTTGCATGTGTGTGTCCATGTGTACCTGTGTTTTTTTCACGCTACAGGGCAGACCTATCCACAGCTCCACTAACAGTGATGCCCCGGCACCGTGTCACAGCAGTCCAGGTCAGCGCAACTCCGAGCTGCTCGAGTTCCCTTCGCGCCGGGTCTACATCAGCTACTCGCGCTACACGGACACGAGTGCAGCGCATGCACGACGCATGTGTAGGCTGCTGCAGCAATGTCACGTTGACGCTGTACTGGATCTGGATCACGAGATTGACCTCGCCGATAACTGGATGTCCTGGTTGGAGAACGAGCTACGTCACGCCGATCACACTGTGGTTCTCCTGGACCAGTATCACCCGCTGAGCATGCACCTGTCTAGGGACAATCAGCGTGCACTCATGGAGGTCAGCCATGGCATGTGCCGCTCGTTCTCCGAAGCAGATTGCCTTACAGGTGAAATGTTCTCGCACCGTCCAGACTTCATCATCCCTGTGATCGTTGGCTCAGGCATCACCAGTGCACGCAGCATTGTCCCGATGCAGATGATGGCTAGTCATATTTACCGACTGCCGGTTGACTTTTCAGCCGTGAACCCAGACTTTGAGCAGCTCAGGCACCGTCTTCTGGGGATAAATCGTGCTCCATGTCAGGATGAATCATGACCAGTATGGTTATAAATCATTCTTGATATTGCTGTCCCGGAACAGTTCTAGAATTTGATATTTTGATATCTTTGCGAACACTCAATGTACATGTATGGTTGTGGTTATTGTTGTTGTGAGTTTTGATGTTAACGACGTTACAGATATCTTTAGCAGCAGCACTGCAGCATTGAGCAATTAGAACATCAAGCACAGGATATAAAATTTGTTGATTTCGTTGAAGTTGAGATTCCGTACACCACATTGATGAATCGAATCTTTGCTGGCATTCAACTTACAATAATATTATTACTGAAATAGGAAGGAGCCGATTGTAGAAACGTGCTGCAAATAATGATGTTGTGTGCATGGGTGCGTGTATGGTTGTGCGTGCATGCGTGCGTGTGACTTTGATACCTAGTGTGTGTGGGTAAAGTTTTTTGAGAATTGCTAGATACCACCAGTGGACTGTTGGCACCAGTGGCCGTGAGCACACACCCGTGTGTGTGTGTGTAGGTGTGTCTGTGTGTATATGCGTGTGTGTGTGTGTGTGTGCGCGCGTAGGTGTGTATGTGTGTGTCTTGCCTTGGTTTTATACAGGTAGACCTACACTCAATCTGCTGACAGAACTGTTTCGCCCTTTGTGAACTCACCAGCGCCGTACATGTATACAGAGCCTAGCTAATGACATTATTATAAATTTATAATATTAATATTGTTCATGTAGACCTCTACAATGTGTGAGAGAGAGAGATTTAGAGCTGGAATGTGTGTGCGGACGCTCGTGTGAGTGTATGTGTATGTGAGAAAAGGGAAAGAGTGTGGGTGTATGTTTGTCTAGTGGTGTGGGCATGTGTGGATTTGGCATTTGTCCCCAGCTCTATTCTATATCATTCATGCCGGAACTACTGCTGCATAGCCCCAAGTCTGAAGACTTGGCAACTTCACGCCTGCACCTGACTCTTGCGCTATGATACGCGTCGCCTATGACACCCCTCAGAATTTCCCACCTTGCTCCCCCTAATGTTCTGGCTGCCCGTTTTGGATCCATCAGTTGCCTGATGATCGTAGAAATACGTGAAACTCAGAGCTGTAACCATGGTAACAAAGCTTCCAAACTCTCTCTTGTGTACAAGGCTCTGCCCTACATGGGCATTGAGCACTCTTCGGACAGTGAAGCACACCACTTGACTACGTCAATGACGTATATACTACTGTACAGCGCTGGCACCTGAAATCCGACCCCCTTCCCGGCGCGCCGCGCCGGGAAGGGGGTCGGATTTCAGTGCGCCGGGGAAATTGGGTCGGATTTCAGTTGCCAGCACTGTACCTGGTAGTTCCTTTTAAAATACACTACATATACATACACTACATACACTGAACTTTACTTTTACATACACTGAACTTTACTTTTACATACACTGCTTTTGATATCCGATGAGAATCTGGACTAAGCACGGATGCACGGAAGGCGTAGCTGACTGATGAGAAAAGACCTAATACGTAATACTACTAGGAGGCTCCGAGCATTGTTACCGGTCCAGGTTTCAGCGCCTAGTTCTTTCCAGATACCGGTATGCACACGTGCACCTGGTGACCAGTCAGCGCACTTCCTTCGTTACCTGCCTGACGTGCGTGTTTGTGCGTCTAGCCGTTTGTACTGTCCTGTCGCCAGCGGGCTGTTACCAATGAGCGGGATCAGCGCGCAGACAATGGCTTGTAGATTGATCTCTCTTTTCTCTCACCTGCTGTTGCTTCTGGCAAGACGAACTTTCTTGTCTCAAACGCCTGGCAACGCTTTGCAAGATTCTCGTGCCCGAGAAGACACACCTTCAGGCTTTCTTCGCCTGGGCCTGGGGTGCTGCAGGCGAAGAAAAAATCCTACTACTGCACCAAGCACGCAAAACGGTCGTCTTGAAGTGAGAGAATGAAGCGCCAGAGACTTGAACTATAGCCGAACTTACTTGGCAAGTGATTTGTTGCGGTGCAGCAAAGGTCCAAGGACTTGTCTTTGGTTGGCATCCAGTAGTGAGCAAGTGATGAACCGCGGGTGGTGTCGTTAGCGCGTCTCTTTGTACTTCGACTCATGTAGTAGGGGACTAAACAGTACAGTCAGTGTCCTTACTTGGGACCTTAGACTTTAGTTAGTTAGAGCCGGTGGTGCACCGTTGAGCGCTAGCGTGGTGATTATCATGGCGATACAACGACTACACTCTACAGCCTGTACACATGGTACAGGTGTACAATCATGCATAGAATATACACAAAGTGTCTGGAGTCCTTGCTGCAAATAGTGCTCCACACCTCAAAATGGGCAGAGCGTACTACACACAGGCAGAACAACAGGGACCAAACATTTTTTCTCGTATTAAACTCGGAGTTTGGTGTTCATAAGCACTCATCAGTCATCAGACGATTATACATGTACATGTACAAATATTACACAGCAATGAATCAAACAAGTCTCATTCCGCTGTAACTCCGAGTTTCGTGTCAAAACACTTCATCAGACAGCATAATATGACCAAGACTAACAATCACTAGAATATATACGGAGAAGGGGAGAAGGGGGCAAAGGTGATGGAGGTACATTTCAATAGCGCGAGGAAAAGGGATGACAAAATCAGCGTGATTATAAGAGGAAAAAGATGTTGAGAGTATAGAGCATAGCGAGGGTAGAGAAACAGCGCGATTTTCTGGCAACACATCAGTGCAGATTTGTGCTGCATTGTTACACATCACAATTGTGGCCTAGGGTGGTAAAAAAGGTGGTGGGGATTGTGTTGTGGGAATCACTCACGCCAGGCAAGGGGGTGACTACCACACCCGCCAAGGCATCGGAAAACCGGCGGTACATGTACATGTATGTAGAGGAGCACACGTGACATTGACAAGGTGGAATGGTCGAGGAGAAAGCCCAATCGAGCAACTCACTGATGAGTGATGACAGACTCGTGGAGACGATCGAAGAACCTACATGTACAGCAGGGAGTCGTATAGACACACAGTGTACAGTGTACATGACAACAAAGGAGTCAAGCAGGAAATTTTAAGTTTGAGTTTTTGACTGGCATATCTCAACATCATTGCGAATTTTCAAAAGTTTTACTTTTTTTAAATGCATCATCATACTTCAAAGGGTATTCCAGTTGAGTTGGTCAAGCGAATTACTGCTGCTACAAAGAGTATGTAATTATATAACCCAATACTAGCACTTGTACAATACTAGTATTAGATAAACCTTGTTTTTAAACAAAATTAATGGAGGTAAACAACGTGTAGCAAATTGAGGCACTTGTAGTAAGTTGTTCAGGTTTGTAGATGAAATTCAAGTTTTTTGACCAGTACTAGTTACCGTGACACCTTCAACAACAAACAAGTTTTATTTCCCAGCGGCAGCGGTACTAGTGGAGATAACCAACGTGTAGCCGGGGTGTTCCGACGTGGTGAAGGCCTACCCATGGCCGCGTCGGGACATCACCAACCTCGTCTACAGAGAGCACCTTCTCACGACCGTGTCATGGTGGTGACAGTGACTGTTGACAGCTGACGAGCTGAGAGAGGAACGCCATGGGCAGAAGCTGGAAGAAAAAAAGACGTGGTCAAGTGGTCCTGAGCTCTTTCAGAGGAAGATGGAGCAGATCCTGGGGTAAGAAAAACAATTCAGGTTAAAGTAGCTACATGACTATCAGGACGACATCCAGGCGCGATCAAAGAATACACGACTGACGTTAGGAGAAGTCTAAACCTCCCCTAGCATAATGAGGGTCAGAACCGGGTTCAACACCCATATGGTTCAAATGGTCCGCAGGGACCGGGGCTCTGCCAACCGCGGAAGGTTGTAGTAAGGTCACTGTTTCCGAATACAGACTCAGTGTCCTCCACCTTGTTTCATGCTGTGAATCTAACAATTGCGTGAACTATAACAAGGTTTATCTAATACTGGTTTTGAACCAGTGTTAGGTAGACAAGTACAATCATGTACAGTAGGTATCGGTTATAGCGTGGGTGTTTGAAAAACGACATCTGATTCTTATTGCCGATATTTCTTACACACGATAAATCACGTGTGACATAATACATGTTTGGCATGTGGACACGTACGATCATGTAGATCTACACAATCATGATACACACGGATCAGACTCGCGGTCGTGCTAGGCGACTGCGGAGCAGCAGATAGGAGAGAAGTCGGAAGAAAGAGTCCGACTGAACAGAAAAAGTGATTCTCCGATGCTCAGTTGGACATAACTCTCTTTTTGTGTTGAATACTATTGTATTGAGCATGCACAGAGCACAGATGTTATTACTACAGGCGATACACTTTGCACTGATCTGGCATATTTTGCTATACAAAATCCATTCTTAGGGCCGATATATTCTACTATGCGATAATACTGCTTGTAAGAATAAAATATACACATAAAATAGGTGTTATGATTATGAAAAAATGAGTGTTCATTCTTGTAGGCAGTATATTCTTGTATACGACCACACCATAACCGATACGCACTGTACTAGTCGATCTATGATTTGTCCTCACCAGATCAAGGTGTGGGTCCTCTTCCCTCACTAGAGACAGAGTCGAGCGATCTGTATTCCCGATGCCGAAAGGCGGGCTCTCCACCCCTGTATGGCAACCAATACTTCCCCATGTCTAACCCCCAATGCAAGAATACAGTCATGTAAGGGAATACTGCCTGTAGTAGTCATACTGGCTAAAGTATAAAAAAGAGAAAGATTTTTATACTAAAACTTAGTGCTGAAGTTGGTTGTTCCAATGAGGAACACACGCTTCCTGCCGAACTTGACACTTGACTGACTCACGACTGCCATCCGGGACGCGCGACTAGTTGTTGGAGGTGGCAGCGTTGAGTAGATCTACTACTACTACTAGTAGTACTAGCTCTCAACGTCTATTTAGCACAATTCCATGAGCGACTTTGACCCACGCTGCCACCTGGGGCCTCACGAGGTGTTTATCGCGCTAGAAAAAAGCGTCTCTCTAAGTCTGTATCCCTGGTGGTGGTTTGGCCTGGAGGGCACTATAATTATACTATGTCATGTACCTGTAAGTGGTGCTTTTCAGGCACAATCTTCCTCAGCCTACTCAATCTCAACTGATGAGGGGTGAATTCCCCGAAGTACTGTGTACGTGTATTGAGCAGGGAGTGGTGCTTTCTTGCAGGTTTGCCGCGTGGGATGTGCGAGTGCTCCTTGTGTGCTCCGGATGGCAGTCGTGAGGCAGTCAAGTGTCAAGTTCGGCAGGAAGCTTGTGTCCCTCGTTGGAGCAATCAACTAATACTTCATGGCGAATAGTCGAATACCGCCGAAGTCGCAATTAATTATTTCTTTAACATTTAGTGCTATCTGATTTATTATAACCTAACACTGGTTAAAAACCAGTATTAGATAAACCTTGTTATAGTTCACGCAATTGTTAGATTCACGGCATGAAACAAGGTGGAGGACACTGTGTTCGGAAACAGTGACCTTACTACAACCTTCCGCGGTTGGCAGAGCCCCGGTCCCTGCGGACCATCTGAACCGTTATGGGTGTCGCACCCGGTTCTGACCCTCATTATGCTAGGGGGGGGGGGGGTGGGAGCGAAGAATACAAGACGAACGTCAGGAGTAGTCTCCTACCCCCCCCCCCCCCCCTAGCCAAATGAAGGAACCCATAACGGTTCAGATGGTCCGCAGGGACCTGGGCTCTGCCAACCGCGGAAGGTTGTAGTAAGGTCACTGTTTCCGAACACAGTGTCCTCCACCTTGTTTCATGCTGTCAATCTAACAATTGCTGATCTATTTATGTACAGTATAATGTCAAATCCGTTGATCCTCGAGCTGCATAGAGTGCTCAATGTCAGAGACAGAGCTTAGTACATAGCAGACTCAGCGGAGGACGTTCAGGTTGATTGTAACTCTGTTTCATGCCGTAATCATCAGACAACTGAGTATAATGTCATGTACATGAAACAAACAATAGGATAGGAGGACAGAGAAAGTGTTTTTACTCCGAGTTTCACGCACTACTGTAAAGCGATCATCAGAAAACATGTACATGTACTAGTACAAGTACATGTACATGACATTGCACTACATGTGATTGTGCATACATGTACATAGTCATTGTATGTGTGCAGTGCCGACGAACACTGGGTGTCAAGCGCACGCTCCTGACTTGTCGAGGTTGTCACCATTTGTCACCTGGTCACCACAGAGCAGGTCGTGCGCCAGGCTGATATCAGCAGAATGACAACAAAAACTGTGGACCAGTCCTGGCCAGGAGACCATCACCAACCAGCTTACCTTCGCTATCTGAGAAAAGTGAAGGTTCTGCGTGATCTCCAGCATAGTACGAGTGGATGTGGTCTCGTATTTGTACTTGTTGTAGGGCGGATTCAACGAAAAATCAACAGTTTCACGCATACAGGTATCAGTCAGTAGACAAGGCTAGAGTGACTTCACAATGATAAGTAGGACTTTCCTGGCATGGAGGGCGAAGGACTCACATGCAGAAGGTAGGATGGCGTCTTTTGGATAGGCTTGCCGGCAGTTCGTTCGGTAATGGTTTTCCGGGCTAGTATCAGTCGGCCAACGACGTCTGGAGTGGTACCAAGTGAGTGGCAGTAACAATGCCAATGGACTTCAGGTAAGTGACGACTTTGATTCGTGGCATGCATTTTACTCTCGTCGGCCTGGTCGTAAGAAAGAAGAAAGCGAAGGAACGGTAGGGATGGATCAGGACCAGAGTCTCAGCAAGAATGTTTTGAATGGCACCACTCGAACGCTGTGCGAACCACCCGAGCTGCGTCAGCGACAACCGGTACCTTGGGCTGACTGCATGGAGAAACGAACATTTTTTAGCAACATGGATGGTCCCCGCTGCCTGTCATAGGAACGACGTGCTTGTACACAAACAATCGGGAGGTGTACGTGACGTTTTCCTCCCGCTCCAAACCACCGGAAACAAAGCTCAGTCAGCGGACCTCCACGTCAATCGCGTCGGAACTTCGGATCCCAGTAACTGCTGCCCTGAATGAAAAGGATAGGCGAAAATAAGGTGCGGCGTACACATGGCAACGAGTTATGAAGCAACTGTCCACGACCGTAACAAGATAATAAACAGTCAGAAAGTGCGATAACAGGGCACCACACTATTTTAGAACAGGCCACTGAGACAGACATTCAACAACCTGATGGCTAGCTCTAACACATCTCCAGTGCGCAGACCAACAGCCTTCCAACTATTACTTGGAAGGTTCGCGGTTAATACCAATACCCATGGTATTCAATTAACTGTGAACCTTCCAAGGTGGAAGTTATCATTCAAATCGAATCATACCATTTCACAACATGCGCATTCGAATCTCTTTTTGGCCTATTCCGCTGGTCCGAAAAATTTCGCTTCCTAGAAAGACTGATATACATGTATGAGGAAATTTTGATTGCAAATTTAGGAACTGAACGTAATGAATATTTTGATATTTAAATGATCTAAAGGAACATGTTACATCAGTGATGACCATTTTCGTTCTGTGTGATGAGTGGTGATCCCTTTTTGGGAAATATTTTGGAGAATGAGAAGTAATCTCTAGGCATCTTGCAGCTTCATCTTTACATGTAGAAAGTAGTTGGGCGCCGTGGACACACTCATTCCCAAACGCAAAAGACTGAACCAATTCCTAACGTACATGTACTTTCTCCACTTTGGAGAATACAATCATGTACATGTACATGTACTTGTGTGTGTTGTCATGTAACATAAGAACGTGCATAGCTGATTGTGGGTACCCCATGTACAGAATGTACGCAGTGTTGCCGAGGAGCAAATTAAAATTACCGCTGAGTGGATTGAAAGTCGCTTCCATCACTGACAGCAGTAGTTGTTGTCGCTGGTCGTCCAAATGAGGGTTGTGCTACGCAGGTGCTGGTCTGAGTGAGTGTTGAATACAGTGTCCTCCGACAAATCACATCATGGTCTCATACTGCAATGTCCAGCCCAAGCTCGCAATCGCGACCCTAATGCAATCAAAGAGAGACTGGAGCACCTGCCTAGGCCCAGCAGGGCTAGCACCCAGTGAATCATTCAGTGCCATTGGCATTGGACATGGAGGCACTTCTTTCACTCTTGTCCAGAACAGTGCTTGCAGCACAGGCATACACTTACTATCCTGCTGTGCAGAAAGATCCTTTTGTGGAGAAAGCATTCCGACCAGTCCAAGATTGACTATGTACTTGGAGTTCAGTTCAGTGGTGATAAGTCTAGACTAGGGGTTTATGTGCTGGGGGAAGATCTATGATATCAGAAATGTTATGACTGTGACAGTGTGTACTCATCCTTCACCAAGCTCCTCAGGTCTGAGTTTGGCCACCAAATCTTTAGATTAGCTGATAGGATCTACCACTGCCAGCTCTCAGGCTTTTGTATTTTATTTCTCAGACACAGAGCACTCAGCACTGGCAGTAGCTGGGTAAGGCTACTGCATGCTGGCTGCTGTGAAGTATGCATGATTGTGTGGTAGTATGAACCAGCGCTGGGCTAGGCCCGCAGCAGCCGGCCGGGTCACGGGTGCCTTTCATAATGACACGATCCACTTCTCAGCTACTTGCCCTGGTTCTAATGAATAGTATATACACTACAGTATAGTGTGTATTTCACACTCCCCTATACGGTCTCTAAGCACAAGCACTAGGTACAGGCCTTGTGCTGGGAGAATCATTGTGCATGAGAAGCTACATTGTAGTTATACATACAATGATGTACAATCATATATACAGTAGTTAGCATTGGAAACTGATGGAAACTGATAGATCTACACTGTATCTAGGATATAGGATCTAGGACTCAGGACTATCCCTCACTGGGCACTGGCCCACTGCCACTGGCCGTAGCCAGTCAATCAAATCGTAAAGGTGGCGTATTGGACAAGTGCAGGAAGACTTATTGTTCACTTGGTTGGAGGCCGGGCCCGCTCCGTATGCCACCCAGCTGCTGGTCAGGCACAGTCGTCATAACGTTTAGTTAGTGCTGAGCTGCAGACATAATTGTGTAGTGGATTGGTCTGACGACAGCTAGCTACATGTACATGCACACCATGCGCATGCACATAATCACCGTACAGTATGATTGTAGAATTGTAGGTAGATCATGGTACATGTAGTATGTACAATGTAGATCTACTAAGCATAACGCTGGAGCATGCTACATTGCCGGCGCCCGACTGCCATGCTGACTCTATCTACTGTACTGACTACCGTATCAAATCATGCAGTTACTTCTACAGTTGGTTACCTGGTACTTGGTAGGTTAGTGAGCGACATCCACACTACCCCAGTACAGTCTGTGTCACACAGGCACAGTGCCAGTGTGTGTTAGTATAATACTAGTAATACTAGCAATAGTGCTACATGTACATGCACCTGTTGCATACTACACTCTACAGTGCTGGCAACTGAAATCCGACCCCCTGAGCAGTGCGTTCACATTCTTTGCGATGTGAGCGCACCGCTCAGGTGGTCGGATTTCAGTTGCCAGCACTGTAAGTAACAAAGTAAGTTACATGTACGTGAGACATGATTGTAGACTCGCAATCAGTCATGCGGTATCCTTTTGCACAACTAGAGATACACATATGTACAGAGCCTGGCCCACGTGTGGAAGTAATTATTTTGCCCTGGCCTGATCTCCGAGTAAAGGCAGAGCTCGGATCGCGGAGTAGACGGAGTGTCCTTGGCTCCTGGCCTGCACCAGTACTAATAATAATGCTTGTCATTTCTTTTACTCTGCTTCATGGCAGGGCCTAGGCCTAGGGCTTGAGCTGGAGAGCAAGGCCAGTACACCTCTGCATATGGGGATGGAATTAGTCTTTGGTTTTTACCTGTTCGTGTGTGTTCCTTGTTCCTGTGCAATAATGGGGCGGTGCTACAGGTTCCTTTGGCCGTGTTTCCTAGCGCACGCATGGTTCAACTCCTGCCATCATCAGTGGCATGCTGCTGCATCGGAAGTTTTCGACGCTTCCAACAGCTCCAACGGCTCCATGTCAGACGATGGACTCGACCTGGAGGAGATCCCATGTCGTCTGAAGTGGCCGCGTGACCAGCTCTCCTATCCATGTACGTAGACGGTGACATCGAAAATAATGTGTTTTTTGCACACATGTCACCACCGCACGCCGCTAGGCAAAAATACTCATCCTGAATGTTCCTTCACCATCACGTAGCTGCACTGTGCTGATACTCATTTAGCATATTCTAGGCTTCGTTAATTAGTTGCATCTTTAGTGTGTATATTTGTGTACAACGGACCAGGCACTGAGGCAGAATGTACTTGTAACACCAACTACATGTGTTGCAGATGTACACTACAGACTACAGGCATGTCATTGCAATACCATTACTGGTGTGTACCCCTTTGACAGACGGTATGGGCTGTTTCAACTGGCCAAGTCACTCGGACAGGACACTTCAACTTATTACTCCAATGGCAGTGGCAGTGACATCTCACACTGCATACACTGATGGTGTGACTCACTTGACAACAGACAGTGCGAGCTGCTGTGCTTGCTTGTGTGGATCTACACTGAGCTGGGATTGTTTTTTGTTACTTGATACAGACAGTGGCCCATCATAGACAGCCTAGTGCCTTGGAACTTCCCTCATGTGAATCAATAAAATACACTGATCTAGGCTCTAAATAATTTCCAAACTTTCCGGGTCACCCACCCATTTGGCTGCAGAAATCCCACTCTCTTCTTGACTTTTCTGGACACACTCAGGACGTGGGGGATAGTCAAGCTTGTCTCTGTTAAAACGGAATCTCTCAGGATAAACCTGAAAAGAGCTAAATAAACCATACCTGAAGGTTCAAGGCCGATCTACATGCCGTACCCATTCCATGTGATTTCTTATGTTTGTGTTTCTGTGTTCTATTAGGTGAATTTGAATTCTGTAATAATGCCCAAGTGGACCATGCAGAGCAGAACCGGCTTGATTGTCATACGAGGAAGCGGTCGATATTCTCCATTGACAAGAGCAATTGCCCTGGAGCACGGCCGCCTGGCCGTCCTACCATCTACATGCCATCAGACTCGGTGCTGGGAATGGTGCGCAAGGACACCTACTATACAAAGCCCATTTGGAATGCGCCTGCGTTCAAAATCCACGTGGCTTGGCGTGATCCAGAAGGTGAGCACGGACAGGACTAAACATTGCAAACTGGGGACCGGAATACAAAATACTTACTACCCTGCACACTTGTAGCAAGTCCCCCCCCCCCCTCTTCTTTTGTACTAGGATTTACCTGACTCAGTCCATTATTTCACCTCTCCCAGCTTACGAGTGTTGGATTACCATTATAATCTATACTACATAATTATAGTTCGATATAGTGGTTGCAAATTCGGCGATGATTTGTTTGAAAAGGGCTTGCTCCCCCACATTGGAGCTCGTGCTATTCCGCCGACTTGACTTGACACTTGACTGACTCACACCTGCCATCCAGAGCACACGAGAAGTCCATCGAACCTTCGACTCGGCAAACCTGCAAGAAATCACCACTCTCTGCTCAATACACAGTGTTTCAGGGAATTCACCCCTCATCAGTTGAGCTTGAGTAGGCTGAGGAAGATTCTGACCGAAGAGCACCACTTATAATTATAGTGCTCTCCAGGCACAAACATCACCATGGATACAAACTTACAGAGACGCTCCGTTTTCAGCACGAGAATCACCTCGTGAGACCCCAGATAGCAGCGTGAGCCAGTGTCCTATATAGTTACTTTTTTTTAACGGTTTTAGCCGGTCAGTTAGATTGACTTTTTCCACATTCACAAGATTGCCACCTCCCGCTCAATGCTCAAGTGTATGTGTGTGACTAAGCTACAAACATTAATGCAATCGTTGGTTGTGTACTTTTCTTGCGCTGTCGTGTGCTGCTGCAGATTCAAAGAATCTGATGGGGTACAGGGTGCAGCTGATACGCGGTGGACTCTACGGTCCTGCGGATACGTTTGACCTCGCAAAGGTAGCAAACCATGGATTTGTACAATCATGTTACTGCCTGCATGCATGTGTGTGTGTACAGATATTTGTGGGGAAATGTATGTGTGTATACATGTGCATGTTTGTATGTGCATGGGTGTATGTGTGTGTGTGTGTGTGTGTGTGTGTGTGTGTGTGTGTGTGTGTGTGTGTGTGTGTGTGTGCGTGTATGTGTGTGCACGTACACGGGTGTGTGTGAACGTTTGTTCCTGAAGTAGTGAGTACATACGGAAAGTTCCGATATTCGGCAGAATTACTATTAAGTTTTGTATTGCGGGAGTTGTAAACAGGAAAGATTCAACAGCTTTGATACTGATACTGTTCCCTCCATGTTACTGCTTGCAGGAACTAACAGAGACTAGTACAGGTCTGAATCAGGTAGTTCTTGGACTGGATACGTCCGGTACATTGAGTCCGGGCAATGCTTTGACGCTTCTTCCTAGCCATTTCCTGTCTGAAGATTTCTTCGCGCACTCTGTGGACACGCTCTATGGAATCCTGGTGAGTGATTTTGAAAAGCCTATGAAAGCCATTCGTCATTCGACAGCCTCCCCCCCCCCTTCCCTTCTGCTATACTTAATTAATCTCAATTATGAATACCCCCACCGCGACACACACATCAGAGCACCGTACATAGAGCGGGGTTGCATTTTGTTGTTTTTGCCATGTGATTATGCAATCACCAATATGAAATGAGGCTTACTTGCTGCTCCTTGTCATAGCACTATTGCTAGGAGGGAAAAAAGTGTTCATGCATATGTTGAGTCACAGAAGGACTCACCATCCCTGACACAAAGGAACAACTGGGGACAGGTACTAGTAGTGGGAAGACATTTATCATAGACGGAGAGACGGAGAGAAAGGGGAACTAAACGACTACATTGTGAAAGAGAGAGAGAGAGATTCGAAGAGAGTTGAGAGAGTTGAGAGAAAGATCTGAAGAGAGTTGACGCAATATATAGGGCCTGGGTAGCTATGGCAAACATGGGTGCGCAAGTAGCTACCCAGGCCAACGGAACGAAAGGTGAGAATGACGTAGCACGGGCGGAGGTACCTAACATACCACCCCTCCATGAAAAAAAATCCCGCGTCCTCGCGGACAGAAAAAAGAGAGAAAAAGATTAAAAAAATGACTGAAGGAGAAAAAAAAACACACACACATATTGCACGTGCGCACGGATCTCACAAAAGTGTGTACTAAAATGCACTTCATTACAACGTTCCTGTACTACTTATAGTGTGTAATAACTATTGGAGTTTGACGAGGAACGTGAATTACTAGTATTTTGCACGGCTAATACAGCCTAGTTACACTTTTGCTAAACATCCAAAAATTAGAGCGTGGCTCACCATGATCGGACCCCTAACTTGGTAATGTTTTATGAACACACGCGCGCACACACACACTACAAAAAATTCACAAAACAAATAAACCGAAAATAAATTTGACGAAGAAGGAACGCATACAAAAGAAGAAAGAGAGAAAGGTAGCTGACCTGCATGACAAGACGAGGTGGACATAGGCGAGACGAGGTTGACATGGACGAGACGAGGTTGACATAGACGAGAAGAGGTTGGAGACAAGACGAGGTTGGAGACGAGACGAGATGGACATGGACGAGACGAATTATGCGGCCAGACGGTAGAGCAGGAGAATCCCAGGGTCGCGGGCTTCGGCAAAAGCCGGGCGCCAATGTTGAGTCACAAAAGGAGTCACCATCCCAGACACAAAGGAACAACTTGGGACAGGTACTAGTAGTGGGAAGACATTTATCATAGACGAAGAGACGGAGAGAAAGGGGAACTAAACGACTACATTGTGAAAGAGAGAGAGAGATTCGAAGAGAGTTGAGAGAGAGATCTGAAGAGAGTTCATGCAATATATAGGGCCTGGGTAGCTATGGCAAACATGGGTGCGCAAGTAGCTACCCAGGCCAACGGAACGAAAAGTGGGAATGACGTAGGTGAGAATGACGTAGCACGGGCGGAGGTACCTAACACATATCAGATCCTGCTACTGGTGCTGTTGGGGTAAATGCCTATGCTGTCGCTTCGTTTGCGGCCTCCAACTGCTGGGATGCCTCGTGCGACACCATTCCCTGGTCCGACCTACGTTGGCCTGGCATAGTGCTCTGCGGTACTCTGCTCATTATGCCATACTTGTGGTGGCTGTCATGGGTTTGCTATTATACAGCAAATAGAGGACCGGGCATGGCGAGGGCAAATTGACTGTTGATACAGGGGCGTCGGAAAGTATTTTAGTGTTGTACGGTCAGCCATCTGAAGTACAATTTACTCATGGGGGGGGGGGGGAGTTTCTGAGCCGACATTTTTGGAAATTTAAAGCCCAGATCAGTATGCTATATTGCTCCACAGGGTACCAGGGGCAAAACGTGGTCCGGTCAAGACCGTAGTGACCGTAGCGTGTCCGACGCCCCTGTGATAGACCTGCTACTGGTTCTGCTTGCTGTTCTTGTTTTCAGATCACGTCACTTCCTGTTCCCACCGAAGACTCAAGCATGTCGCGAGCGCATGTGGATTTCGTTCGCGTCAACATTCCTTGTAAGCTGGAGGCATGCTCTTTTCCGCATACACTGGACCTGGTACAAATATATGCAACAGACTGGTGATACCTTGCAGTATACATGTAAAGCTGATGCAATTGTCCTTGGCACCTATCACTCGCACAAGCACATTTTTTGTTGTACACCCTTCATGAAATCTAGAACTAGTAATTTGACCGGGACATGGTCTGGATGGATGTCTGCAGTGAAAGTAATGTATGTGAGATTGACCGAGCACAATTTGGTGGATTTCACGTGCAATTTCGAAATTGTAACACTATCTTATTGTGTGTTCCTTTGAAGCCTGCTCGCCAGAGAAGTGCTTTGGATTGCCAGAGCAATACCTTCGACCCTTGGTGCCAACCTGCTCGGAACGCAAGCATCGTAAATATGGAGGTAAGACAGGGAGTGTGGTGAGACCAGTGAAATCTGCAGTAGTTTTCAATGACGCCGTGTTTTCTAGCCGTATTTTCTAGCAATGATATCTGTTCAATGTCTCGTTTGTTCTGTGTATATATATATATGTGTGTGTGTGTGTGTGTGTGTGTGTGTGTGTGTGTGTGTATGTGTGTGTGTGTACTCTTGTGTAATCAATGGTGCTAGTGAAGCTTTTATCAGATCCGCTCTGATTTAGCCACTCACACTAGTAGGAAGTATTACCTTCACTGGGGGCAGGGGTAACTGCAGTTGGATCCCGGGACGGATACCCTGATGCCGTCAATCCTTTTTCTGCACTTTGTCCTCGCCCACTTACTGAGGTGTGGTGAGCCCATAAGTGGGATCATTTTCAAGTCCACCAAGAGTTTTGGGATTTCAGGGGGTGTCGGCCGTTGGGCGGTTCAATAACCAATTGAGTCATCTTTCCAAGATTCCTTTTGAGTCTCTCTCCCCTCTGGGGGGGGGGGGGGGGGGGGGGGAGGGCTCACGTAACCAGTTTTGGCAGTGAGCAACAAGTACAAGTACAAGTGTGTGTGTGTGTGTGTGTGTGTGTGTGTGTGTGTGTGTGTGTGTGTGTGTGTGTGTGTGTGCTTGCGATATCATTTGTTACATGGCCTTGTGGCAGCTCCAAGAAAGTTCTGCACTTGTGGTAAGCTAGTATCACTGGATCTGAATGTCTTCTTTTGTTGCTACTACTATTACTGCAGCTATGATGCTGCCACAATGCTGAGGCTGATGCTAAGGCTGAGGCTGAGGCTGATGCAAGTCTCGTGTTAACCATCATGACCTGTTGATTTCGTACCACAACGTAACTCAAAGTGTGTGTGAATGCAGTTAGGAGATTTAGTGACACCATAAAATAGAAATGTTGTAGGATACTCACAGCAATTTCTCAGTGTTGCAATCACATTTTTCACTTTGTACAACGCTGTTTGCAAGCTACTGGAGAGGAGAGAATAATGACTCGCCGCTACTCGGAGTTCTATGCTTCCGTGAACCTGACAACTCGGAGTAGCAGCCACCTTTTCCTCTCTCCATTATACTGTGTGTGCAAGCTTTACCTGCACTTTTAAGCATTCCTGCGAGTCCGGTTGGTCAGGCAATGGCCAGACTGGCTCTTTAGCCACCAATATGTATTTTCTGCTGAGGAGGTTTCTTGTATGCGCCATATCATACACAAAGTATGAAGTGTGGCCAGACCAATGAAAAACTGCTTCCACCGTCCCTGCTTGAAGTATTGAGCATTGTTCGAACAAGCTCTTTCTCTAGGTATTGAGCACCGTGTGAGCATGCTCTTCCTGGAGGTATGGAGCACTCTTCTGACAGTCGCACACCATACCTGTGTGAAGTACATCGTTGATTCGAGTGCTCTATGTCGAATGTCATTCTAGAAAGAATGACAGGTACTTAGAATACAGACGACAGCATGAAGATCTGCTACCCATTTACAAACTGCCACCGTGTGTATGGTTCTTACAGCTCATAAGCACGAGAAGACAGTGGAGGTGCAAGAGACTGACAACGCTACTTTGAGGGATTCAATGAGCGTCACATCGGTATGTAAATGTCTATACAGAAGCCCACTTCCACTATACTGTAGAACGGGTAATTTTAGCGACTATTAATTTTAGCGTTTTCCCATTGTCAACCGGTTAGCGACATTTTTTTAGCGATTTGCAGCGATTTCACTCACGGATCACCAGTGCACCACTATGTCTCAACGGATTAGTGACTTGAAACTTTAGCGGAAATGAGTCGATCGCTATATTCGCTAGGATTTTTACGTCGCTAAAATTGCCCGTTCTACAGTATATGGATCAAAGTCTAAACTGTCTTCATGCCTCTTTTATAAAACATACTGGTGGGTTGGTAACGTTACTAGCCCAAAGAAATGAGCCCGAAGGCATATTGCACCGAGAAGCAATGCATGTACACTGTATTCCCACCTAAGAGGAAAACAGTCATGACTATTGCACTGACATACTCTGTGTGTGCAGCTTTACCAAAGATCAGAATGTTACGTGGCCTGGGGTGTGTAGTACAACAGTTTTGGAAGTATCCTTTCAAGCAGCCTGGAGATCACTAGTTTGATTCCTGCCAGGTAGTTGTAGCATCCACAGAGGCAATACATGCGGACGTGATGGTGAGGGAGTATGGTGTGGGTATTTCTCCCGAGCTGTCTTTCACTTGGCCTTGGGTCAAGGTCAACGGATTGATCATGATGCATTATGTCCTATCATTGATCTTCTCCGCGTTTGGGCTCGGAAGGTTGCGGTCAAAATCACGATCGCGTGTTGCGGAGGCAATGGATCACGTAAAATACTGGTTTCACTGCTCACATTTTTCCTGAGCAGTATATGGTTTTGCCTTGCTGGGGACTTTCTGATGGCTCTGAGTGTAGTTTAGCTCTTCGGCATATTCTCCCCGTGGCTGTGAGGTCTATCTGGGATAAGGTAATGCAACTGTATTTGACTGGAAAGGTGATGAGAGAGAGAGAGAGAGAGAGAGAGAGAGAGAGAGAGAGAGAGAGAGAGAGAGAGAGAGAGAGGCGGCGAGTAGTGTGTCTCACACAAAATTCATTTTCTCTACACGTGCCTATGGGCTCCTATATGGTTAGAATTGAGAAGCTGATAAAAGGGTGGTAAGACCTAGTGTACTCGGCCCACCTTGCTGCTGTTACTTAGCAGAAGCAGTTTGATGGCGAAAGGATGGAATGGTCTACGGCATCCACTGCACTGCGACCCGACCAGAGTACGTCTGAAATGCATCTCCTGGAAAACGGCGCTGAGCGTACAACGGATTATCATATGGAAATGGGACTCCAGTTCTGAGGGGCACGAACATCTCCTCTTACTAACATAGAGGCTGCAAACTTGTAGAAGTTGACCCGGTCACGCTGCAAAGCCCTACAATGTTGATTCTCGAACCAAACTCGTTTTCACGGAAGTCAATGTCTGGGTGCAAGGGAGTCGCCGAGAGTCGGTAGTGCAACGCAGAGCAGCACGGCTTCATGCGATTGTTGTCTCAGTGAAACAGCAGTTGCATGTTAAGTTGTTTACTTGAAAGTCTTGATCTGTTTTATGTCTGCGTGCATAGGTGGATGTCACAACCCGACAACACGTGGTCACATCAAGCCTGAACATGTCCAGTAATTCCTCCAGTAGGGGAAAGACTAATCCGCCAGCCTTGCTGCCAGAATCAGAATCTATCTTAATACCTGCAGGTAAGCTCTCTTCGAATACAAATTTGAAAGAAGTAAGACAAAGAAAAACAAGCAAGGTTCAACACGCAACAGGTTGAACGTCAAGCAACCCCGTGATGACCTCAGCGGACATTGGTCTTTACTTAAGTTTACGTATAATATTTCGTATAAGCCGGTAGACCTCGTCTTGGTCAACATCCTTTGCATTCCACAGCCGATATGACATGCTGAAAGGACGGTATGCAATAGTTATCCCATGGTACGAAACGATTTGGGCCATTTCAGCCAATCAGCGACCGTTCTGAGCGGGGGTATATAGAGCGATATACCCCGCCGGGGTCAATAATATACCCCGCTGGGGTCACTGGGTCAATAATATACCCCGCTGGGGTCACGAATATTCCCCGGATCACGGCAATAAGGGAGATTTTAGTGCTGGTCACGCTCTATTTGGGACAGTACATGGGATAAATGGATTCTACCATTCGTACGCTGTGTATACCGTGTCCCTTATATTTTCCCTCGTGCTAACGCACTCGTGAAAATATTCGGCGGTATACCCCTCGTACTCCATCAAATCTGCTGATATTGCCATGTAGAACGTTGGAAACACGGAATCTCCGAATCTCCGTTCATGCTCATGGATGATACATTGATTTACAAATGTGCAAATATAATATTCGTGCGTGTGTGTGTTTGTTGTGTGTTTGTTGCTGTTGTGTGTGTGTGTTGTTGTGTGTGTGTACGTGTGTTTGTGTGTGCCTGTGTTTGCATGTTTTTGTTTTGTTTTTGGTGCGTGTGTGCGTGGGTGCACATATCCGTGTTTGGTCTCCAGTGTCAGCAATAGCAGGTTCCGCTCTCATGATGACTATTGTCTGTTTAGCAATGCTCTATTGGTGGCAACGACATGATAAAGTTCGGAAGTGGAGTAAGTGTTTGTACTCATCACGTCACATTACCAGCATCATTGTCGTAGTTTTTCAACCACACTTGACCAATTCCATGGAAAACTCTACTCCACCACACGTGCACTTGGTCTCTTTGCTGCAAACGATCTCAGCCTCAAACAATAGTCTGGCCAGGAGCCTTCATCAGGATTGAGGGGAAACCGGTGGGTCTGTTACTGTTTCCACTGTCCTGAAACATTTTAATTTAATAAAAATGTTTTTCACACCATTGTTTTTCTGTTACTTGTATTAAGGGCAGAATCTCATCTATTTGTCATTGTCCCACCACTCCTCGCACATTATTTCCAGGCATGTTTTCGCACCTCGGTATATGTGTGTGTTTGTGTGCCTGTGCGAGCGCCTGGGGGGGTGCTAGATGCATCATTCAATGATGCACTTTATGACGTATTGGGTAGTTGACTCCAGCTTGTATTGGACGATTTATTGGTCCATCTTACCAGTCACGTTTTCCTCAATGCTGATGATGGTGCTTAGCCGAAAATTTGATTGAGATTGAAATTTGCAGCAAAAAGACCACTTTATATTATATGGGGAGGGACACTTACTGAGGGCATAATGAGTTGCAAAAACAAGCCAATTGTAAATCTATTGCATCTGATGTTCTGCGGGGGTTGGCACTAGAAATCTAGATTAGCAGACATCAAAGCAGCACAGTTTGGTGCTATGTGCAGTGCAGACCCTGGCCTGTATAACAGCAGGCTGTTTGAAGTGAACGATATCTGACCATGCCAATATACTTAGTACATACCTAGCATGTAGCATGTAGCATGTAGCATGCACTTTGCAGTGTATATGTAGTAGCTGCTTGTTGCAATCATGTGCGCTTAGTGTCGTGTGTAAAATCCAAGCACCGGTGCGAATGCACTATTGCAAAAATGGCATCGTATGCCATGGCAACAAACAGTGTGGTCCGTTCTTTACGCTTTACGTTTGCTGTGTTTGCCTTGTGCAACTGCTGCTAACGCGAATGTCTATGTAGATACAAAAGCTGCTCCCCCTCACCATCACCATCATCGCCACCATTACGCTACCGTGAACCAAATCAGTACCAGCTGCATGATCGAGGTAAGATTTTTAGCATGCCCTGTCATCATCCACATCACCCCTATCACCCCTGTCCGTGCATGCTTGTTTAATACAGTGATGTGCTTCCCAGGAGAATGGCAAGGAAATTAATGATGTTTTTTGTAATTGTGTCTGTCTCTCTGCTTTTGCATCTCCATAGAGTGGTTTACTGACCAGGCTACCATCCACTAGTACTGACATGTCCGATGATACAAACAGGAGCTTGCCGGATGCCTGCACAACGGAGGGGGGCAGCTTGAACTCGGCAGAGCGCGGGACTACATCGCCGAGTCCCGCCGTCTACATCAGCTACTCCCGGTTCACGGAAAGCATCAAGCTCGACGCCATACGTCTCTCCAGCGAGCTGTGTAGTCGAGGATTTCATGCCATTCTGGACGTGTACCATCAAAACGACATTGCCGACGATCGAGAAGGCTGGATTTCAGAACAGATGACACGGTCACAGTTTGTCATTGTTCTTTTGGATGAGTACTACCCGCTGAATTTCAGCTCGGCCACGCTACGAAACATGCTAGAATCAGAGCAGGGTGGTCATTACAACGATGCTGTGATCGAGAGTCGAGTCCTACAGGCCGGAGATTTCGGAGGGTCGGCTGCATTTAGTGTGTTACCAGTGTGTATAGGCGGTGCATTGTCTGGCCGCAGATCCGTGTTGCCCGTTGCACTACGTACTAAGACCTTGTACAGGCTACCGCAGGGTTTCACGACCGGCATGTGCCAGCAACTGCAGCAGCTACTTAACCGTCTTCTGGCCACCAGCTGCGAACAAACGTTTCAATCAGAAGACCTCTAAACCTTGATCCAGCGCCCTCAACTTGATAACAACTTGATCTTGAATACTTAGTTTGTGTGACGAATATGTGATCATTGATTTCGTTGATTTCACCTCACTCCTTGATATCATTACAAAGTTGTAAACAATCCGAATTAGAGCGATCATTTCCTTTTCTTAAAACCTCTTTTAAAAAATGTCACTTCAAATTTATTGAGAAATAAATCCACTGCCAGTGCAGGCACAACAATGACTGAAGTCAGGAACAGTGGACTTTGGAAAACAATGAGTGCTTGAGAGTTCGGTTGGGAAACGATTATGCGCACGCCTTCTGTGTTTAACACATTTTTCACGCGCACACCAAAATTCATTATGCAGAGCACTGCTAGAATTGTGTTCTGACTTGTGATTTCTGTGGTGCAGCGCGAGTAAAAGTGAAAGATGTAGAATCATGGAAAAACCAGTGTACCTAACTATAGCCTCGTTGGATAAATTTCGCTGTTGTTCCGACTAAACGTTAACTGATCTAGATCTGGTTTTCTAGTAGATATTCACAGACGTACATGTACCCTCTATAACAACCACTAAATACTGCTGGGCAAGTTTGTGGCACATATTTATCTAATTACTAGTATCTCCATGCATGCTCATTATAGAATTTGGTGGATATTTTATTTTTGATAATAATTATGGTAGTGCTACTACTCTAAGTACCACAATAGAAGTAAATTTAGTTTCCGAGTTATGCCAGTTTAATTAAAGGCAGGACCACCGGAAGTTTTGATTGGTCCAGGCATACCATACCCCTTTCATACTTTGTGTATGATAATGATTATTAAAAAATGAATGAGAGTCCTACGGCTCGACAGAGTGCTCAAAATTCATTCGAGCTATCTGTGTCGTGTGAATGATAATATTATTCTGGGTACACATGACCTCAGCAGTGAATAATATTATAGTTTGATGTCCAAAGCGACACGGTTAGTCCGGTGATGACGTGACCAACCGGACGGGTTCCGACGGGCATGAAGCTACAAAATACATGTATGTTGAACTCGCATGGTGAGCCAATTTAATTATGGTGAAAAAGGAGGACAAAATGTTACGAGGTATGACTAGCTGTCCACTTTTATCGCACTCGCTGACTGTATAATGATCTGGTTACGTCACAGTGGTGCACAGCTAGTCATAACTCGTAACATTTTGTCCTTCTCCTTTTTCACTTCGAAGTATGTTTGGGCTTTTGGTAGGCTATATTTGCATGCATACCGCATAACCGAGAGATCGTGAGTAGGGCTTAAACGGTTATACCGGATGACCGGTTATCTGACCGCTAGAATTTAAATGATTATGAAACCGTTAATTTGTGGTTTCAAACGGTTTTTCATGCACATGTAGAATATAGAGCTGAATGGTGTACACTGTACAGCACCAATCTTAACGACATGTGCAGGATAGCAGGAAATTCTCATCTGTTGGCACATGTCTACAATGAAGACTAATGTCTTTTCACTCAGTGGCTGGAGCTTTTGATTCGGAGAAGGGCCTTGTAGTGCCACATGTTTGTAGATCCAGTGGGGAGGAAATTGTAGAATTTCCGCTCGGCACTGAAGACAAAACCGTCTTCGTCACCACAATTCAGCTTGAAGTTGAGGAAGCCTGGTTTTGATGTCAATGTATAGGTCTCAATCGTGTTTGATAAAAGTGGTGTGTGGTGCGATTGTTCATATTCATGTACTGGAGTCCAATAACCGGTTATAACCGGTTATCCGATCGTTACTTCAGAGGATATTCGGTCATGCAAAAGTTGTGACCGTTTAAGCCCTAATCGTGCGAGAATAGCTAAGACGGAGGTGTAGATCACGTGCCAGAATAGCGATAGCCCTTTGTTCCAGATCTATTGCCGAACATCTTCTAAAAATTGCTAAAAAAACAAGGTCTAGTAATTCAACTGTCGATGACGCATGGCCGCCATTGAAAATTCCACCTGGAACTTTAGAAATCGTATACCATTATCCCATGTGTAGGAATGCATTGCTGACTTTGCGAAAGGGCTCTTCCGATATGCTCTCAAGCCTCGCCGCATGGGTTAGAACCCATGATATATCCAACTTGGACAGTGAATTTCGGGATGCATTGCTCTCTAGAGGGAGTCAGTCAAGAAAGAAATTACAGCAGCTTGCATCGCGCGCCTCACCAACAAAAAATGCATTACGGAACAAATAAATATACAGCAAGTGAAAATAGGGAGAAACAGGCTGAAGTAAGTGTCAACATAATGTGAACGGCTCCGCATAGAGTGTGTTTGTGGTGTCTTGAAGTACGTCATCAAATTGGGAATTTCGTATCAGGAAGTGTGCTCAAAGTGTGCTCAATCAGCTAAAAACATGCATACTGTCAAGGCAGCCCAGGCTGGTTTATAATAATTATATCCTTGAATGCGTTCCTGGATGATCTGAGAGGGAAGTGAACATCGTCAAAGAGGGCAAACCCAGTACACATTGTACAGGGCTGGAGAACCATGCACTGGTATTGTTGAGTTTGGGGGCTGGCATGATAAACAGAGTGCTCTAAAACGCTTGCGTTACAATATCAAGATAGTCTTGCAAAGCACCGATCATTATGCCTTGTTTTAAGGGAGAATATAATTCTTCAGTGTACAACACCCTCTGGTCCGGGTGCCAGGAACAGCTCAGATGCACTGCGATTTGCTGAGCTACGCTGAGAACCACCTGCCACGCCGGCAAGGTCCAAACTGGACGAAGTGCGAGATATGTTATGGATCATCCAGTCGCTGGCAAAGCGAAACTCCTGGTAGCATGGATCCGGTTCGGGTGATTCCGGCACATCGATGGAGTGGAACACTTTGCGTGCCTGGTGCGCGCCCTGCTCAGCGGAAGTATCTCCGCCGGGCATGCTGTGCACACGCATCGGTCTGCCTGGAACGTTGTACTCATACGGCCGGCCATCCACAGGAGATACACTGACCAGCGAAGGGGCGGGATTGGACGGAGTGGAAAGCATTGCCCGCGTCTGAGGAGAGTGCCTCCCCCACTGCTGTCCATATGAGTCTTTCAACTGAGGAGACGGCTGTGGCTGAGGAGAAGGACGCAGCTGGCGAGGCGATTGATCTTGCGGAGACAGTTGTAGATGAGGTGATGAGCGAGGCTGAGGAGAATATCGTGACTGAGGAGAAAGCCCTGTTTGGTGAGATGTAGAAAGGCAAATCTGAGAGCTGGAACACGTACAAGCATTGTGCATGCAGCGGTTCGAGAGAGGCAGCGAGTACATCCCACCATGCTCGACGGCTTTGGAATCACCTTGCGGTGAACTATCGCCGATGGCATCCGGGTATCTAGCAACTGCGCCATTGTTTGCACTCTCAATGTCGACGGGAGAGCTTTGTGAGCCCGCGGCATACTGTCCTCGGTTCCAGCTTCTCCTGGCAACATCCGGTGTGTGTACTCGCTTGCGTACTGCCAACCCTGTTCCATTGGCTATGTCCGGGGTGACCACCCGTTTGCGTATCTGCAGTGCGGAGCTTGGGCGACTGGTTGATCTGGCGTACGTCGAGATCACGGTGGGTGGTGAGACGGACACGTCCACTGTCGGCACAGCGGCCCGATATCTGTGGTTGATCTCCTGCTCGAGAATATCTACACGCAGAGCTATGTCCTCATAAGAGCTCATCTTGTCCGCCTTTGCTGGCTGTGTGCCAGACGCCGCTGCATGGTCGTTTGGGAATCCCTTCAGAAACCCGTCTGGAATGTCTTCATACCTGGTGTCTTTGGCTGGTTCGTCAGCACCAGGTTTGTACCTTGGATGGCGAGCTAGATCTGGTCTATCAGCACTGGTATCGCTTTCCGACCCTTTCTTGGGCAGGACAGGGAGACGATTGTCAAACGGAACAGCCGGGGATGCTGGTACACTCCCCGAATGGCAACCAGGGTGTGGCAACTCCAGCATCCTCAGCTCAGACGGTGTTCGAGGCAGCGGGCGGTTCTTCACGGCCGGCCTTACTATAACATTGCTCTTGCCTGTCCCACTGGGAAATGCACTCAGTATCGGTTCAGGGGACATATCTGGAGCCGCAGGTGCTGCGATTTGCAAACCTGCCGTCACTTTGTTGCTGTCATTGGCAGGTGTGGTCACAGTTCTCTCCTCAGATTGCGCTGAACGTAATCTCTTGCCGATTCTCAACCTCTCTAGGAAGGTGGGTGACTTGGTCACTGTAACTGCCTTGGGTTTCAAAACAGCGCCGCCAGCGGCTGTGCTTGGTCGCAGCTGCAGAACTGGCTCTACACTGCTCTTGCTGTTGTTCTTCCGGTCAGTGCTTGATTGCGTGGCTGGTGTCCCATCGTTGGCGGATTGTAAACCTCCAGGTCCCACCTTGCAGTACCCATCTGCTCTCAGGTGCTGGCGTCCACTGAATGAGTAGGATCGCTGCAGTGTTGACTCGTTCTCTCTGGACCAGGCACGCTGACGCTGGGCAGAATCAGGTGATGGGCATCGCATCAAGTGAGAGTAGGATGGCCGTGGTACATCATAACAATCCTCCATGGTACTCAGGTCGGACGTCGACTGCGACCGTATAGTGAAGCGCGATGTGCGGTTCTCCACCTGTCCATCGCAGTCGGTGAATGTGTCGTTGTGCAAGCTCTCAAGATCCCGCACCAGTATAATTGGTGGAGAAGTGGCAGAACCTGTGTTTATGAATAAGGAGTCCCTCTCGTAATCATCATCATCAACATCATTGCTTTCAGGACTTCCATGGCCACTGTGTACAGTCAATCCATCTCCGTTCTGACCAAACTGATGATGTGTCGAATTGCTTTGCAAGATCGACCGCAGTGCATCATCCAGGGAGGAGTTGTCTTGCATTATAACGCGGTAATTTCGGTTGCTCTTAGGTCGTGTTGCAGCGTTAGAGTTACTTCGCATCCTGAGGTCTGGGCTCAGGTCATTGGCTGCCGCCCCGTGCGCCTCCTGCGGGCAACTAATCAGTCTATTTCGACTCATGAATGGACTTGGCGATGGCTGAACAGCGTCTTTCGGAACTGGTTTGGGCGGCTTCTGATATGCTCCATTCGTCTGGGGTAAGTCAGAAGCCACTTCCCTGTCACTAGTCAACACTGGCACATTGTCCAGTATGCGGGATGTGTCGGCACCAAGATCCTTGCCACGTTGGTAGAGAGATGGTCCGTGAAGCCAGTTCGGGAGCTCCGATCCTCGATCGTCTGAAACAAGAAGCACAGAAACAATGGAGGAACTAACTGATAGAAGTCCCTTTCTGCCCTCTACATTCACTCCATTCGCATAGTAAAGCCGTTATCATGCTCTGTTCGGACCACATGACAATACTGGCAAAACAGAGCCGCATACCATTTTAAACAATAGGCCATGTGCTAGGCCTCGAGTTCCCACTGTGAGTTCCCACTGTGGGTCGCACCACGGCTGGAAAATCTTTCCTCTTCCAAGCAGGACTTGAAACTAATACCCTTTGCTTGTCCATCATGATCTTAGACGATTCTACCGTGCCTGCCAGCCCGAAGGCGGAAGAAAAATAATTATTAATTAATATTCCTGATTGTTGCGGTGCGTATTCCGACTCTTCGTTCACTGTATTGTGCCGTGGTCGTCATGGTTATGGACTACAGTTAAAGGTGTTGGAAGCTATCTATCAGCGTCTGTACAAGCCTAATTTGTGTGTACAGAAAGATAGTATAATTGGGTTGAAATTGTTCAAGTAACGTGTCGTGTTTAGTGCGGCCAAGCTTGGCCGTTAATGTTCTAGGTTTAATGTACTGCTGTTATGTGTTATCACGTTGTCTTTCCTTCCTTTCTCCTTTGTTCATTTCTCGCTTTGATTGTTAAAATTCACACTTGTAAATTTCACTGTTGTTGCTCTTAGTGTTATTTCTCTAACTTAGATTTTCTATAATAGTTCAATTTTTTGTTTCAGTGTCCTTTAGTACAACGACGATTCCTGATGAGTGTTGTACGAAAACTTGTTTGAATCCCTTTCTTTCTCTACACAATTTCTTCACATTTTTCATGGTTTTATTGCACATTGTCTCCACAGTTTTACAATACATGAATACAGTGTACACAAATGTCGATCCAGCTTGTATTACTGATTGCGGTTATCAAATTGTTGTCTCCTCGCCGTTTGTTCTAATATTTCACAAAAAAATATAATTCAGAGGCACCGGATTTTGCAAAGTTGGAAGAATATGGTTACTTACATGTCAAGTTATCATTGTCATTGCCATCAACATCATCATTATCATCAGGAGCTGCAGGACCCCCAGCATCAGTAGCACCAGCATCATCCTCACCACTCCGCTTAGCGTCTTGATTCGTGGTGGCATCAGATAAAGTTGGCTGCTGGTCTGGAGTAGCAGGATAGCCGAATGTATACTCCTCCAGTCTGGCCATGCTCTCTCGGTGTCTGCAGGGCTTGCGCAGCGCAGTGACATTATTGCTTACTTCTACATTGCTCGTCGTTGTGTCATCCGTGTCTACTTGACTTGATGAGCCATCGCCTCCATCCACTATGGCCATCGCTGGACTAGAATCACCCGGCATGGCTGAATCTGGATCAGTTGGGCAGCCCTCCACTGCAGGCGACTGGTTGGTTTCAACCTCTGCTGAGTCCGGATCACCTGAGCCCATTACAGGTGGGGGATTCTGCAGACTGGCAGCTAATACACTTTCATAGCATTGCTCCCTTTCAGGCACGTTCTTAGAATCATTGAGACTTGCTCCTGCCTGGAGACCACCAGTAGTTGTAGGCGAGTTAGCAGCTGCAGCAGATGATGATTTTCGGTTAGGTTGAACACTATATGTGATGACCTCCGACTGTGAGAGATCGGTGGAGGATGAGGGAGGAGAGTTGGGCGATTTCAGGTCATGCACTAAGCTCATGAAGTTGCCAAGCACACCAAACGACTGCGGCTGTTGCTGTTGCGACACAGTGTCCGTTACGGAGATTGACACCACTGCTCCCAAGCTGGAGGTGGGTGGGATTACGTCGGGCAATGCCATTGGCACTTCCTCATCGGCCTCTCCTTGCCCACAGCCATCAGTAGTTTCCTCTGCCACCTGAGGAAATGGTTTCGCCTGACTGTAGTCGGGGACAATGTTCGGGTAGTACTTCATCCCACACGGTCCCAGCTCAGGACAAGGAGATGAACCAAGTTCTGCACCGAGAACCTCCTTCATTTCATGACAGATGGCAGTGCAGATGTTCCTACACCAATGACCAGGGCATTCCAGGATGATCGTGCTGCTCAGCGATCGTTCGTCATCTACATCCAAGCGCAGGCTCTCCTTGATGGGCTCGTAGAGGACCTGTGCGATGTTAACCACCTTCTCGGAGAGCACTATATCACAGGTTATCGGATTCACGAAACAGATCTCCTCCTGCCCAACTGTGCTCCGGTCGAATGCCAGGTGCATATCGAAGTAGTCATCACCCTCGGAGTGTACTTTGCGAACATGATATCTGGAGGACCCGTGACCTAGCATAGCGGGAGCATCAAAGAGACGACAGCAGAAGCCGGTGTGATTCATCATGATCATGTGCAGCGCAACAGTGCATGATAGAGCGAGGGGACTATCTTCGGGAGAAAAGTCAATAATTTTGTCGACATCATTAATAAAATAATGTTCATCTAAAGAGTGAATAGCAACTAAATAGAGCGGTTGTAAGTTGACAAACCCCCTTTTATTTAAGGGGACTATAGTGAACACAAACTGACTAGTAGTTAGTAGCATAGTGAAACCTGTCTAAGACGACCGCTTAAGGGACCTTAAAAACCTGGTCTCTGTAACCAGGTGGTCTCCTTATCCAGGGTCATTTGACCGGGAGTAGCATTCCTTGGTGCTGGTTTCAGTGGTCTTCTAGAGCAGGTGGTCGCCTTATCGGAATGGTCGCCTTGACAGGTTTTACTGTAGTAGTAGTAGTAGTAGTAGTACTAGTTTTTATTATTTTACTAGGGGAGTCCCAACAGGCTACTACCTTTTTACTGGGAACCCTAGGTGAAGTTTAACCATGTCTATGAACAGAGCAAGGGAGTGGGCCTGCCGACAGTCAGCTGGAAGAGAGTTCCATCTAAGAGGGTGCATTTCCTTTGTGCTACAAATGATACAAAGAGACCCGGCATCTCTGCAGTGATACCACCCCATGGGACATCCGTGTTGCCCGTAGAAATTTACCTGAACCCGATACGCAAATACCACGCTACTCCATACAGTATCTCTTGTTCTCACCTTCCATGGGTGGCCAGTCGCGTACCGCCTTCAGCTCCGCCACCCACCGAAACATGTCCTCACTGGTGGCGGCGTGAAAGGTGACGACTTCGCGGCTGGCCTTGATCGAGAACGTTCGCCCTTTGATGTGCCCGGCGTGCACTTCGCACATTTCATGATGGTCGAGTACGAACACTGAACCACCGCGCGACTTGAATGTTGACTTTTGCCGTGCGTACACGAGAACGAACCGCTCTGGACAGGACACGGAAGCACAAGCGTAACGGGAACTGAGATCCACCATCAGTAACTACTTGTACATCTGGCTTCAGAGCTGAACCTATTCTAGAAGAACACTATTCCTTCTCCTTGCAGATACATAGGGCTTGCTAGTATAACTTTTTTTGATTTTCAGTTCACAGAAGAATACTCACTAAAACTAGAATTCAATCTAAATTCAGGGAAAAGCCATAATTGCAGATTTTCCACTGATCATGAAGACCATGACTATCTCATTGTTCCATTGCCTTCCCTTGTTTTCCCACATTAGCCTATTGCTCTTTCCAATGGCTTGATAATGCACAGAAATGCCGAGTTCTGTATGAAGTAGATGAGCAGAGACACCATTGGCAAACCGGCCTACCTTCTGGGGTGTGGTCGTCATCGGCAACATCCTTGTTTAGCTCCTCTACAACTCTCAGCAACTGCACATAGTGATCTTTGGCCTTCTTCAGTGTACACTACAGCAGCACATGCAATCACGCGTATGCACAAACACCCCCCCCCCCCCCCACACACACACAAATGCACACACGCACAAATGCACACACACACACACACACACACACACACACACACACACACACACACACACACATACGCATACACACACATACATACACACACACACACACACACACACACACACACACACACACACACACACACACACACACACACACACACATACAAACACATACAAACCGTCACAATATGAACACATGTCCACTATAACAGGAATCATACACTTGTGTAATAACAGTACAAGCGAGAGACATTGGAAGGCTAAACAAAGCAGCAGATACTTGTCTGCCAGCACACCAGATCTAGAAAGTGGGGAGACACAATGGAATCCATAATACCAGATCTCTTTTAAAAATAACTCAGTAACACCCCTGGATGTTTTGTTGCAGGACACTTAGCACAAGTCACACAGCTGTGAACATTTGCTCCAAGTGCACACTCACTATCCTCCACTGATACTTCTCCGTAAATTGAGACTTCCTGGACAAAGGGAAGCCGACAGTCTCTGTTCCTGGGGAGGGCCGTGGGGAGGGGGGGGGGAGCACAAGTTTCAAGTGAGCATTGCAATCCCCACAGGAAAATCTAACCTGAATGCACACACAGCAAAGTCCGTCACGTTAATGTACCTTTGCATCCAGGCTGAGTATCTCCACGCGCATGGGCGACTCAAGGCAGATCTCCACCGGTGTGCAGCGTAGGCGAGAGCATGCCTCCCTTGTGCCCATGTCCAAATCCAGGATGGCCTGCAGTCAAGCAGTCAAGCAGTGGAAGCAATAATTATATTATAACAATGAGGCTGTTTTTCTAAGGATCAGTCGGGGAAGTGAACTGCCTGACATGAGAAAAAACGCCAGACCCCGGGGCACCAGGACTCGAATCCGGGACCTTGCTTGTCATGAGCAATGCTCTAACCATCTGAGCTATGGAACCAGGCTGAACCTAGACAAGGCAAGGCAGCTCAAGGCAGCTCACAACACGTGCTACACATATTGATGGCATTTGGGTCTTTTCCCCTCCCCCAGAGGACCAACCACGGTCAGTTTCTGGAACGTACTACCAGAGGTGAAAGAAAGTGATTAAATTGGAAAGGATTGGGAGAACTTCAAATTCAAAGGTTCAGTCGGGGTGGTGAACTGCCTGAAAAGAGAATAGAAAACGCCAGACCCACCAGGATTCGAACCCGGGACCTTGTATTTGTCATGAGCAATGCGGCTCTAACCACCTGAGCTATGGGACCAGGCTGAACAGGTTTAGATGGCAATAGCTAACTAATCAGTCAGCTTCATAATGCCATGCCGCTGCCGCTGCGTAGTAGTACACTGACCTCGTACAATAACTAACTGGCGATGGGGAATTCCCACCCCACCCCCGCAAACGTGCACACTGACCGCATGCAAGAGCTACCTGGTACTGGAGATTTACCCCCCCCCCCACACACCTGCCCTTCCTCCCCCTTCCCCCTTCCCTCCCTCCCCCCCCCCCCCTTCCCCCATACCCAAGCACACTGACCTCTGAAAATGTATTTGTTAGCACGGCCGACCTCTTCCTGGGGCCGGTGCCATCCTTCGGCGACACATGCACAGCAGTGGCACCTGCAGGCGAGTTTGCCTTGCCGCCTTTCAGCTTTTTGAACAGGTTTGGCATAGCAACTTCTCGAGCAAGGGTTGCCCGTCGCCAATGTTATAGCAACCTGTCCGCAGATGAGCGGGGCGTCGTAAACCGTGTCCACGGCGGCCTATGGCAGTAAATCAGCAAACAATCGCCATTCTTACCATTCGTGTCCGTGTGCATACTCAGGGGTATACGACCGTACGACATGCATGACTTTAAGTCATATAAATAACTTAAAAAGCTAAGAATTTATCTTTGACTTTGAACAACTTATGTACAGTAAAACTAAGCCTGCCGCTCAGTGAACCTTCTAAAGTGGCTCCACCATACGGGTGGGTGACTTTTCAATTGACACACTGTGCCAGAGGGTTACTTTGCAGCTTGTGTGAGCCAGTGTGTGTTTACCACTATTTACCAGGTGTGCATTTGGACATTGCCACCATTTTGTTTAACCTTCGCACAGGTGGTACCCTTTAATATCCAGGGAATGGAAATGAGAGAAAATTACATCCTTCTATCTGGACTTTGAGAGGTCCTCTTAGGGGATCAGGGGGATGCCCCTTGTCAGGTTTTGCTTTAGTCGCGGAAAACATTGTCCGGGAACACTCAGCCCTGGCACGGTCTAAGTTCTACAGTAGTAGAGTTCAACTTCATAGATAACCATGTATAGCTGGATATCCATGTATAGCTGGATATCCATGTATAGCTGGATATCCATGTATAGCTGGATATCCATGTATAGCTGGATATCCATGGTTGAATGCAAGAAAGCCTATTGGACGCAGATAATAACATTCAAATGAATCATTATTACAGTTTGGAACTCCAACGGTCAGCGGGAGTCAGATTCAAAGAGAAAGAGCACCGCATATGCATGCGTAATGACTACACTTGGTTTAGGTCCTGGCTTGTGAATTGCCTGACTTCTCCTCTTCCTAGATTTTAATTGAAACTCAAGTTGACTGACCATATGGGATGCCTGGCCTGTACACCTGAACAGCGCTGTGACGGTGTGAGGTCGTTTTTATTGCAATTTGCAATTATTTGAAGTAAGTTCTGTCACGGTTCAACGTTTGTGTATCGTGATACGTCCGCCCATTGACTCGAGCATTCTTATCGCATGACAGGCAATTAGCATTCTTACAGGGCGACATACAGCCTACAGCATACAGCATACCTATAGGGTGACATACAGCCTACAGCATACAGGCTGCACTACAGCGTGGTGGCTGTGTGCCAGAGCTGCTGTAATCTGATACCAGTAGGTCACTCAGCACTACAGTATGTCCTGCCATCTTGACCAATGGAACATGCTAGATGTGTTCTCATCATAATGACAGTGGCATGGCATGTGCTGAAGATCACAGGGCCAGGGCCTGGAGTTCTCAATGGCCACCTTTCACATCACACTGAAATGCAGTGTGATTGCAAAGCGACTGTACAACGTATGATCCGGCTTTCGTTTCAACGGTGTATGGGCATGGGTGTACATCAGCTGGTGTGCATGACTACATGCCGTGTGTGTACTATAGCTAGTTACATAATAATGACCATGTTTTCCACGATGGATGTGTGTGTGTGTGTGTGTGTATGTGTGTGTGTGTGTGTGTGTGTGTGTGTGTGTGTATGTGTGTGTGTGATTGTGTGTATGTGTATGTGTATGTGTGTGTGTGTGCTTGTGTGTGTGTGTGTGTGTGTGTGTGTGTGTGTGTGTGTGTGTGTGTGTGTGTGTGTGTGTGTGTCCCGATATGGTGCAGTGGTATGTGCAGTCGATTTCCAATCGAGAGGCTGCGGGTTCAATTCCCGACGATTATGATCCCACACAAACGCGTTTCTTCTCTTTCTCATTCTCCTAGCTCTTCTTTCATTCTCCTGGGTGGTTACCAACAGCCAGTGCATGCCGGAGTATTTGGTATGGTGTGTGTGTGTAGAAAATGAAGAAAGAGTATAAAAAACGAAGAAAAAAAGAAGAATCAGTTGGGGAAGTGAAGTGCCTGAAAAGAGAAAAAATCGCCAGACCCACCAGGACTCGAACCCGGGACCTTGCTTGTCATGAGCAATGCTCTAACCACTGAGCTATGGGACCAGGCTGAACCTAGAAGGCGCTGACAAGTTTTTCACTCCAAAGGCAGCTCACAACACGTGCCACACATACTGATGGCACCTGGGTCTTTCTCCCTCCCCCAGGGGACCAACCACGGTCAGTTTCTGGACCCTACCAGAAGTGAAAGAGAGTGATAAATTTTTTGAAAGGATTGGGAGAACTTCAAATTCAAAGGATCAGTTGGGGAAGTGAATGCCTGAAAAGAGAAAAAAATCGCCAGACCCACCAGGACCCATAGCTCAGTAGTTAGAGCATTGCTCATGGCAGGGTCCCGGGTTCGAGTCCTGGTGGGTCTGGCGATTTTTTTCTCTTTTCAGGCACTTCACTTCCCCAAATGATCCTTTGAATTTGAAGTTCTCCTAATCCTTTCAAAAAAAAGAAGAAAAGAAAAAAAGGGATTTGCTGGCCAGAAAAAGCCGCTTCAATCAACTGTGTGGTGTACACCAGGCCAAAACTAGCAGTGGTCAGTTCATCAGCCTTGCAAGCTGTTGAATTGTGTAATCCCAGCACAAGTTGCTATGTCTAACATAGCTGTTCGCTATCATCGCTTCCGCGATGGGCAGGTCTGAAGTGTGTGTGTGTGTGTTTGCGTATGTGTGCATTCATGCGCGTGTGTGCATATGTGCGAGCGCGTGTGTGAGTGTTTGCATGTGTGTGTGTATGTGTGTGTGTACGTGTGTATGAGTATGCATGTGTGCGCGCGCCTCTGTGTGTGAGTGTTTGTATAAGCGCGTCTGTTTAGGGGCCGTCCGTAAATATCGATGTTTTTTTAGAGACGATATTGGTGCGTCTGGGGGGGGGGGGGGAGGGGGTTTGAGCCATGTGCGTCTTTTCGAGCATCAGAAAAATATCGATGTAAATATCTGAAGTTTCGCCGATCTCTGCACGCGGACGTCTAAATGGCTATACAAGAAATGTGAAACCAGCTTCCGTTCGCGGAGCTAAAACTCGCGACACAAGAACAAAATTTAAAATTGGAAGCTGTACGCCCATGGCGAATTTCAAGAGCAAAAGAATGAGCTATTGATTGTGGAAATCGGCCGAACGATGCCTGCAGGAGACCTTTTTCAAGACGTAGAGGCAGTGCGAACAAACACGGACCAACTCCACAAGAGTTTCCAAAAATATTGATTCCATGATCTAGATGTACATGTGCGTCTTCTGGGGGGAGGGGGGGGGGGTCAAGGGAGAGAAGCACCAATATCGTCTCTAAAAAAACATCGATATTTACGGACGGCCCCTTACGAGTTGTAACCGAGTCTTATTTCAGAAATTATTTTGGAATATCATCTGGCCCAGAACTGCAGCTAAACTGCTTCATAATTGTTCAATAGATAGCTCACAACACGGATGACACCCCACAGACACCATGCTAGATGCTAGCCATGGGACATTACACTTGTAGTAGATTTTCACTGGAACTTCAAAACAAACTTTCAGTTTAGTCCTGCTGGCCCATGTAAGCCTTTCGAATCCTGCCACTGACTGTGTCCTAGGTATAGGTTCCTATGAACGACAACGACAAGTAATTAGCTGTGCACATACTAAAGACTAAAGTGAACAGTCTATCGATCATATGAACGAATATAAAAAGGGCTGAAATCTACACGCAGCTGAACGCTATTGGATAGTGTCAGCTACCTGCAATTACTAGTATGTAGTTCTGTAACACCACACGAAAATGCTCTAGTAACGTGCCAGAGGATGCGTGCACTTGGCGTTGATATGGCGGAACACGAAACCAGCGGCACAGCAGAAGATTACAAAGGGTGACTAACTGTGTTGGTGCAGTGTTATAATTATGCATAGGTTCTGGGGAATTTCACGAAGCTCATCTGCACATGTTTGTAGGAGAAGTAAGTTGTACAGCAGTCTTTCAGAGATCCTCCGACGAAGCCACTTTCGTCAAATGCATGACGCCAGTAGACTGTTGGCGTTATAACAAAACAGCCGCCCTGACACCATCCTAGGGCAATACACAATACCGGCATTAGGATACAAGCTATCTATTTGAAGCACTCTACTCCGATCTGCTTCTATGCCATTCGCGATTTTGTAACACTTCCTTTGCCATTGCGGCATTGGGGACTGTCAGTGTCAGAAAATGCCGACAGCACAGACTAGTAGTAGTAGTACAGAGCAAAACCCTACATGAAAATAATGGCATTGTGCTCTCAAACCTTCTTACCTTATCCGTCAGCGAACTCCGGAACTGCTGGCCACAAAGCCAAACATCCACACGCAGTTCACCAGGTTCACTCGACTGACACGCCGACTATCCGATCTCCGTGACTATCACCGCCGCCACAGCGTCAGAAACACGCTTGGTTGTCACTCGGTAAGAACACCACACTGCATGGGACCCGCCACGGGGAGTGAGGCACCACACCACCACATGTGGAGTACGGACATAGATTGCGCAGGGTCACTGGTCAGAGTGATCCAGAGGTCGAGAGGAACGACGACGCTACGTCTGTCTTGCTGCTGCAATCACAAGCCGCCGTGGCTGTTGCTGCCTGCTGGGCTTTCTTTTTCCACAAATCCCTGTTGTGTGCTATGATATTTCCTTTCTTTACAAACGAGCGGTCGTGTCCGCACCTCAGCAGGAAGGCCAGCTGTATGACTTGTTACTGTTAGGCCAGCACAGCATGAGTCGGTGCCCGGCACGCGGTCGGACCTGAGGTAGATCTACTGATTCCGTTGTGTGTGCAGGCTGCGGCGTATGCACACTGAAGTGAAGAGGCAACCGGATTGGCATCTTACGCTAAGTGCGACCTTTCGTGCATATGCACCAACGCTGCACTGAGTCATCATGGCCATCATGGTCAAGGACGGTACTGCTGTCGTGATCGTGATGTGGACGATTGTGGTTCGTGCATGCTCAGCCGTTCAATATGCATTTCAACCAACATTATCCCATACACAGACAAGACTTAGTCATGATGTCGAGCAGGTGCACGGCCGCAGAACGAACGTGTGGGCCCCATGCTGACCCTGGAGTCTGTAGGGATAGATGTGCGACATGAAAATGGCAAACTGAATCAAACGTCTCACCCGCCACCACCAACATAGTCATTGCTCACCACCGAGGCCGCAAGAAACGATAGTGCGTAAGTGGGGAATAAGCCACCATGTAGATGTACGTACCAGTGCTGATGTTCGCTCGCCAGCCCACTTCTCCAAGTGGCCCCAAACTACTAACTGTAGCTTCCCGAAGATGCCGATAACGCAACAATAGTCCCTCTTCGAAAGTCATGTTACAGTGTGTTTGCGCTGCGATACCAATGATGATTTGTATGTGTGACCCCTTCGCATGCCACGGCCAATGTATTACAGCCGATGTATAGTTGCACTTGATTGGAAAGAAGCTGGACACGGTTGGAGCGTCATCCATAATCATGTCTAGAACTCGTGAGTCTTTTTAACCTGGTGCGTAAACACCCCATGCTGACCAGGGAGATTGTTGGCCACATTTGAACCCTCTAGAGTCTTTGTTCGTGCAGTGACGCGTACTTGCGCCAGCGCGAGACTACTGACAGAGTTCACTTTCAACAATGGGGTCTTGCTCAAGTGTCGCTCAAGCTCTGACGAGTGGCCTCTTGGGAAAACGTGGAGTGCTGTGTGACGGTAAGGAGGGCTTTCCTGAAGAGTTGTGACACGACTCAAGAAGGGCCACGGGGACATGCGGAACCCTAGATGCGTGCGGTGTGCTGCATTTATGCTGCTCACAAGCCTGGATTCCGGCGCTCCGGTCCGTCTGGAGACCGGGTTACCCATGCAAAGGGTGCCCGGGAGGAACTCAACCACTGGACCGCTTCCTCGTTCTTCTGTGTACGAAGTCATAGGGTTTTTGCTCCTTATCCATGGCATGATTGTGCTTGGTGCTTGAAGCAGTATCTGGTGTGCTTTATGCTAGTGATGAACATGTGTGTAGTGATGCGGGCCAAGCATCAACACTGACAACACCATCCCGTATCACCGTCTAGTCTCTGCTCTACTCTAGACCTTGGCCGTCAATGCTTCAACACGGTACAGGTAGATTCTGATCGAAAAGCTTAGGCATCGGCAGAACGAGACAAAGCTTGTGGCGGGCAATTCCGGGATTTCTTCTCCTCTTCCTTGTCCACACATGCATATGTACGTCATGTAGGTATCGATGCAACTTTCAACCAGAAAAAGTACCAAATTCTGCTCATTTTCTGCCGAGGTCTACTCTGTCACATGGTTAGGAATCGGCCGTCATGGATCGTATTCCGGATTCAGATGAACCACAGCTGCAGAATATCGTAATAATGCCTTGCAAGTATATCTTTTGAACGTAAACCACCATTTATTCACAGGGGGTGGGGATTACCATCAAGCTACATTACTAATCTACTACAAGTACTTGTAGCAGACACAGGCCATGCGGTACAGCACTATGAGTAGATTGGGGCCAGCACACGGGGATGTCTAAGGCGGATGCACCTGAATCATGACGCCACAATCGCTCCTCCTTCCACAGAGAGCGGAGTCCTCCGGCTTGATAGAGTGCTCAATGCAGGAGCAGAGCAGTAACACACGAGTCACAGAGTACCACGGGTCTGGTTTGTTGTAACTAATAGTTTCATGCCAAATGGCAATCTTCCATCATACTGTTCTTTTCTCTCTCACTTGACTAAGGGAGTTTGGCACATTTTCCCTCCAGGACTTTTCACACCCACCAGACCTCAAACCGTCACGGATTCCCTCCCATACCACTGTACAAATACCATACTAGCTGTGCATCACTGTTATCAGGTGTCTGAAGATTGCCATCTGACATGAAACTATTAGTTCCAACCAACCAGACGCGTGGTACTATGTGACTCGCTCCTCCTTCTCCTGTGTCCACTGCAGAGCGCGAGGTCAAGCACCGGCTGTCAGATTATACCTTCGCTACAGAGTTTATAATTATGCTCGTCTTTCATGTTCATACACTTGCAGTTACACCCAGATCAGATGATGACGTTAGTTGAGAAGATGCTATCTAAACTCCTGGGTGGAAAGGAGTACGAGTGGAAGCTCTCAAAACTGAGCTCGATGTGTGGGAAACAAATACATGTACTATGCTGTAGTCGCTTCTGACACTTTGTAGAAGGAATCATCGTAAGATGAACATGACGATTATATCACGTATCTGCATGCAATAAGAAGTGGTGGTAGGCCACGAATCAGGACAGGGCCCTAGTACAGACTGCACGAAACGCATCACACAAAACACCGGAGTATTAGTCAAATATTTTTAAATACTTTTGGTTTGGTGACGACATACATGTAAATGTGAATAGCTGATGCCAAGGACTGTCCAAAACTTCAATGCAACCATCCTCACCACAATGACTGCGACCAGTGTTACAGAGCAGACCTTCCATATCTCGTGTTAATGGACCACCATCAATCTGAGCTAATCGTCTACTCGTAGCACCGTGCACTAGTGATGAATACGACCTTTCCACGGACACACACACACACGCGCGCTCGCGCGCGCGTTCTGGCAGAGGTGGCTTACGAAGTATTTGCCCAGCAGTGCTAATCAGACGGGCTGAGACCCCTGAAGACGTGTGCACTGTGTCAATTGTGTTCAGTGCTTGATTGTGAGTTGTGACTGAACTCCTTGACCAGAGCAGGTCTGCGGAGCAGCTTTAACTGAGAATTGCGTAAAGTGACGACTGTTACTGTGTTAGTAGTGAAGGGACTATGCATCAAACCAACCAAGCACTGTATCGGACATCCTCTGGACAAAATTCCTGCCAAAACTAGGCAAAACAATTGTTTTGCTCTGAAGGGGCCTATGGCTATGCATCTAGCGTTCCCTAGATGTCTCAACAAAATGGCAGTTTGTTTCACAAGAAAACAAAAACATGTACATGATGGACATGAACTACATGTAGTACAATGTCATGTAGTAGTATATGTAGTAGTATGCCTCTTTGCACATGCCAGCTGCTTCACATTGCCATTAGTTCCTAGTCTAGGATAGGCCTGACGCAACGTCATTGCTGATACCGCGAACACAAAGCTCGCATACCGTTAGTGTCACACCATGTCCTGGACGAACACCAATGGCAATGCCACAATGGTACTAGTTGTAGTACAAGTGGCAGGATCGTGAAATATCTCGTGCTTGTGTGAACCTTGGAGCGTAATGGAATTACACGATCAATACAATTGACTGTACCTGGCACATTCATTAGTATAGAATTGTGTTTGCCCCATTGGACTACAAATCCATTTATCGCAGCAATGACTCAGAAGATGCGGAAGAGCACTTTTACGTTTAGAGCAGCTAGGTACAATGACTTGTACTGCCAATGCACAGTACCTGCAACGTGTGTCACATATTATCGCATCAAAGCAAGCCGTTAGGCTTGCTTTGATGCGATATTATGTGTGAATTGGAGGACGAGTGTTAGTCCTTCGTTTAGTAATTATTAAAAGCGGAAAACACCGCAGTACAGTGCAGTCTCAACTAACTGCCATAGGGATGATTGGTCAGTACATGTGCAGCGGTGGTGGCGGCAGCTGACAGTACAAACGAGCACTGGACAAGACCAACTGTGTCCTGAGCATTCCCGTAACTTCCACCGACTGTGGTCCCTCCCAATTCCCAGGTACAGTACCGCATATTATGCACTGCACCAGTCTGTGAAGTAGTTGGCTTATCGTGAGCGTAAACATGTTGTGCTGGACGCTATCACGTCCACACTATCATTGAGCAGTGAACACTATTCGTGATTCACGAATGGACTGATACTGGAGGCTTTCCTGGCAGCTATAAAAGGATAAGATGCACCTGACTTGCTCAGTTTCACTTGTTCTTCGGTAACATTCGGCTTGCCTGCTTCACCTTGCCAACACCTCTTTCGCATCTCTCTCTCGCATCTCTATCATCCCGTCTCTCTCAAATCTCTCTTACCTTTCTTATGCCTCCCATCTATTCATTTCTTTATCTTTTTATAAGAAGAAAGAGGACCAAATAGCTACAAGTTACGCTATAATATCCACTAACACCACCAGTTACTTTACAATCAGCTCATGCGATGACATTGCACGACACTGACCAACGGTACTGACGTTCTACACCTAACTGGCAATCAGCTCTAGCACATCTTGGAGGTGCACTCCAACACTCAACAGCCTTCCAGCTTGGATGATTCTAAGTTTTAGAAATAACATAAGGAGAGGAAGGTGAGCGCAACCCAAGACAAGCACGAGCTGAAAGTCTCAGCTGTGAAGGACGTTGGCGGATGTACATGTATGTCGAGGACGATACTGGCAAGACCACCGGACAACTTGAAACGGTCAAACCACAATTCAAAGACGCATAGCAACATACCACACAACGTGTGTGTCTCTAAAGAATCGAAGATCAATTGAAGGTGAAGCTAAGCGAACATGAAGAACCGACCGCCTCAGTAGAGTCAGTGCTACAATACAGTACTTCTACCAAGACAATTCAGATGGAAAAATAAGCAGTACTAACAAGCAGTAGTTTCACACGACGATCGTTTCGCCGTACAGGCTTCTCTATCTCTAGTATCGGTATCTCTATCTCTATCGCTATCTCTATCTCTCCAACTATCTACCTCTCTCCCTCTCTATTTCCTCCCCCTCTCTCATTCTCATGCCTGATTGGCCGTGAGACGGCAGGTCAGTGGATCGTTCAATCACCACGGTCCACCACTGCC